CCTTCTGAGCTGCGGGTGCACATTGCTGATTCATGTCCAGCCTGTCATCCACTAGCACCCCCAAGTCCTTCTCTGCAGGGCTGCTCTCAATCACATCATCCCCCAGCCTGTACTGATACTGGGGGTTGCCCTGACCCAGGTGCAGGACCTTGCACTTGGCCTTGTTAAACCTCATGAGGTTCTCATGGGCCCACCTCTCAAGCTTGTCCCAGTCCCTCTGGATGGCATCCCGTCCCTCAGGCGTGTCAACCACACCACTCATCTTGGTGTCATCCGCAAACTTGCTGAGGGTACACTCGATTCGACTATGTCACTGATGAAGATATTAAACAGTACTGGTCCCAGCACAGTCCCCTGAGGGACACCACTCATCACTGGCATCCATCTGGACATTGAGCCATTGACCACCACCCTCTGGATGTGACCATCCAACCAATTCCTCATCCATCAAACAGTCCACCCATCAAATCCATACCTCTCCAATTTAGAATGAAATTTTGTATTTGACCTTAAATATACTTACATAATTATGACTTGTTTAAATACTCTAGACTGAAACCCATTCTCATCTGAGCACCGTTACTAGAGCATTGGCCAGTTAGTTTTCTTGGAAACTGAGTTTATCACATACTTTGCTTTAAGTAAAATTTTCCTGTCAAAGCTGTTGGAATTATAAAGGTATCCATAAGAAATCTGGATGCAGTTTCACTTGTTATGTGAATCTGTTTAAATTGTATTCGTGTATGCTGTCTGTGTTCCATGTGTTCGTGTGGGCCCATTGCTTGCTTTGGCACAGGATGGGGAAGGGATTTGTAAGTAAAGGAAGCTCTTTTTTTTTTTCTTATAGTAGTTACTTGTAATTGTGCCTGCAGAAAGTGATCATTGTTTTCATTCCTGTCCTATTATGTTTCCCTTGAGCTTAGCTCAGGAAGCAAAAACATGGAAAAAAAAAAATAAAAATCCGAGGCAATACTGGAGAGATGGGCTGACGATGTATAGGTTGGGTGAAATGAGGGAAGTAGTTGCCTATAGTTATAAGAATAGCAATAATAAAAAGAAAGATCACCACAGTGCAAGAAAAATAATGTGACAGAAAGTAATTTTTATAGTTTTGAATGTGTTTTAATGACTGATTGCATTTAATGTTGTTTTTATATATTGTAGAGGGCATACTTGAAATTTTTCAGATTTATTCCATGGTTTCATTTTTCTGTACGCACCACTTTCTGTTCTAGAAAGCTAGCAAGTATGTAGCACAAGGTGTGTTGTTATTAGCTTGACATTTGTGAACGGTTGTACTACATTCATGGAGTAGCAGTGAAGGATTCCTGCTTTGTTTCTGGTTTTGATCTTTGTCTTGATTTCATAGATCTTCTTAAACTTCTGTGTCAGTCTAAAATTGTGATTTAAACAGTGATACTTTATGGAGAAAGGAGAATTGCTTTTAAATCTTAACTTTTGGATGATTAAGGTTTTTGGTGGATGCCAATCACCCAACTTTATTAAGCATTCAGTTTTGATAGCTGTTCTTGTTCTTATTCTGTAAGATTTAGCTTTGCTTGGAATTGACTTGTTGGAAGCACTAGAGGTCACCCTTGTTCCACAGCAAGAAAAATTTTGGCTCCAAAACATACCATCTGTATCGGTAGGAGCATATACCTTCAGAGAAGTAATCTGTAGCGATTAAACTATCGAGTTAAGAGTTTCCAGGTGTTTGAAGTTTTTCCCAGGAAAAAATGCAAACTAATTCCTTGCCACCTTCCAGTACAAGCCAGATAACTCTTCTGCAAGTAGAGTGCAACACTGTCAACATTCGCTAGGGTATTCTTTCAGAGAAGTATGTTCCAGAAGTAAAACTAGTAGAAATGCTTGGTAGAGTTGTCTTTTATGGTATTCTCTTTTTTTACAGTGATGATAGCTGTGCTTGTGAAAAGGGAAGTAGTAGACTTATACAATGTGCTTTGTTCATAGCAAGGAAAGCTCTCAGTCTAACTGGCACTTGAGCATACCGAAAGCAACTGATAATCCTTAACCAGCTGACAGTTATTCCTAAAACGTAGTGCTAATCTCTATGGAGCAAATAGTGTCTTGATAACTTGTGCTGAGTTTAGGTTGCTTCCAGTAGATACTCTGCTCAGATGCCACAACGGCTGTGGTACCTTAAGCTCAGGAAAGTGAAGGGTTGTTCAGACCCTCTGCTGTTCAGGACTCCCCATACTGCCAGGAAAGGAATTGTGCCCTGTTGTGCCTGTTCTTGTATTCTGTCACCTCGAACTGTGACAAAGAGAAAAACTACAGCTGTCTCTTGGGAGCGAAAACCAGCTTCTAGGGTATGTATCTGCAAGGCAGGGGGAAGCAAGGCATTATGTCAGTTAAGGATCCAGAAGCATAGAATGTCTTATGCTTACTATCATCTCTGTGCTGACTACGTGCATTGTTTTTTCACCTGGGCCAGTTGCAAAGATGGGCATGATTTTGAGCATGTGATTCCTTTTTTCAGTAAGTATAAGCAATGTCCACTATTAGTGCACAAATTGCCCATCAGTCCTTACATCAACATGTCATTACTGGCAGTGCTACTGAATGAGGTTTTGACTTGTATGTGCTTGTTTTCTTAGAGGAACTAATTGAATTCTTAGCACCAGAATTAATTTCACTGGCAAGTATTGAGTAATAATAATATCTCTATCTGGAGTATGTACCATCTATTGATTTAGTGACTGATTTTCATCTGTATCCCTGGGGCATAACTTCACAGTCTAGCAGAAACAATCTGTGATAGTTACAGAGTAAAGCTTCTTGTCTAAAACCTAAATATTTTTCATTTAGAACACTAAAGTATTTATCTGAAATACAGAAATAGCTTGACTAGTGCCCTGTCCAGGTTTATGAATAACCCACATTGCCTTAGCGTTCGTACTGGGCAAACAGAAGACCTCCGTCTAGAGCATTTGAGACCTTATCTCTTCTCCATCATTCAAAGAGGTCCAGAATATACTGATCCTGTTTTCTGACTGAAGGCTAATACTTCTAAATGTAGAAAAAGAATGAGTGGCAGACAGGACATACCAAAACCTCTGTAGCAGTGCTTATTTTCTGTGTTTGTATACTTATGCTGTGAATAAATTTTCATCATAAACCTGAGACAGATTTTAAAGCAACAGGGGGCCCATCAAGAGCTGCTTCTGGAAGTGGCAAAAGTGACTGAGGCAAGTGTTTCTGTCACCTTAAGATACTTCCATCCATTTGTAATCCCATGGCAACTCCATGGAAATTAGCAGCTATTCTGCCTCCTTGTCACGGCCCAAAGGGTTACCCAGCCTGCGGGTGTATAGAGATCACAACAGTGGGTTTGCAGGATTCCATAGCACACAAGGACATGGAGGCTTTATTTTCTAAATTTCTTTATTACAGGTTACTACAAATTACTATTAGAAAAGCAAGTATACTCATGAGTAATAAAGTAAGTACATTTTTATTTTAATAGTAGCAGCAGTCGATAGTAGCAGCAAGGATATATTTCATATATATTTCAAGTTGGTACTAAATTATTACTAAGTTGATGATACGTCAATAAGTTTCCATAAATCACAAGTTGCTACTAAATACACACATATACATATTATTCTAGTATGGGTACAGTGCTTACCAAACCGCTCCCAGGTATGGGGCCTCAAAGTTGATGATGGACAAAGTCTCACTTCAAAGAGTGAGAGTCTGGATTCAGCCAGGTGTTCCTGGTGGCGGTCCAATAACTTGTCTAGGAGATCTCAGAGAAAAATTCATGCAGGAGTGGTTCTCAGAGAGAGAGGCTCTATTTTGGGTAAAAGCAAGACATTTTTATATGGCAGAGACATAAGGGGGTGTAGGACACCACCACCTGGAGCAGTCAACAGATGCTGCTAATTTCTGTTTGTCACCTGGGACAGCCAATAGATGATGGTGTTTTCTGTCAGATCAATTTTTATTTTCCCAGACTGTTTTACTGTTCTTTCAGCTAGAACAACCAATAGCAGTTGCCAATTCTACTTTCTCAGGATGCTTTCTCACTTTTCCAGACTTTTTCACCTTTCCAGACAATAAGTTGCAGTTACAGTTCCTTGTTTTGCATTTATTGATGGTATCTCAGGATGTCTCTGGTTTCTAGGTACTTAGCTGTACTTCAGAGATGCCAGCTGTACTTCTCAAGGATGTTTCTGGTTCCCAGGCCTAGTTCCCAGGCTAGCAGTTCCCATGCTGGCAGGCATTTTCTCTGTCAGTATTTCAGCAGACATCTTCTGTTGACGTTTTTTTTTCCCCTTATAACCAGGTCACCTTTATGGCTGCTCGTATCACTTCTATGGTGAAGAAAACAAAACAAAAAAAAATGGTCTCACGCTGACAGTTATTTGTAGTAGTACAATTTTGTGGTTTTCTGTATTTCACCAGGAAAAGGAAATAAAACTGTCACTGCAATGAAAAGGCTCATAAAAAGTTAGAAGTCCTTGACAGTGAGTCCTGCTCATTAGCTTTATTGCAGTTTTACTAAGAAAATATATGTCAGTCAAGATTCAATATCTGTCTTCAAAGATAAATTTTGGAACGCTATAGGAAAACGTTGGTTATTCTCTGATACATCTTTAGTAGGTTGATAGGCAGCTGTATGCAGAACTTCAGGATTGCGATCTTCTGGTGTCACAAGACAAGTACAAAACTGCTGAGTTTTTACCTGTCAAGGGCATATATATCAAATTATTGTTTATACAAACCCTAAATTACTGTAAGTCCTCCACAGTTCCTTAGTTGAACATTCAGGCAAGTGTAATGAATTAAAGTAGCAGTAGGCTAGATAATCTTGCCGGGAATCAAAGTGAATCTGAGACTTTGTTTTTATTTTAGGCAACTTAACTGCAGCCTAGATGATCTGAATTTCTCCACTATTGTCTAAGCAGATCCCCAACTGGACACTGTCTAAGAGTTTTTAGAATTCTGCTTATTTGAGGTTTTTTGGATTAGAGATGAAATGGAGAAAGAGTTGCAGCAGTTAATGCCTTTTTATGCTCTCTTGTGCAGTGTTCACAGTAAAAAGGTAATTTAATATTGCTGTTCAGATGTCTGTGCTTGAAGCAAAGTGTGCACACAGGTGAAATAGGAAAGTATTTTCCTGAAGATACTAGTCAGTCAGTTACTTCATCAGTCATTGTAAAATTCTTTCCTCCACCTATCTCCATACATTCCACTTATAGGGTACTTTCTATGGCAATCTGAACTTCAGGAGCCATTCATACAGTAATGCTATATGATGATGTATAAATGGGATCCAGTTCCAACACGAACCAAAATTGTAAAAGGACCATTTACTCCCATCTCTTTTGTGTATTTTACTGTGAACTGTTGTGTGAGAAACGTGTTTTGTTCTCTGAATAGTTTCTGTGGATTTATTTAAAAAGTTGAAATTTGAAAGAATTATGGTATAAATACACATTTTGACTGGACATGATCTTGAATCTAAAGTATGCTTGTTGGAGGACCTCAAAGGGAAGACAGAAAGCAGAGAGTGACAGTCTTCTCCATGCTTTCCTCCAATTCCTACCTCAGTCATGAGGACAAAAAGAAAAAAATACTTAGATCTAATTAACAATTGAGAACCAGAGAGTAGTTAAAATGAGGCGAGGCCCTTTCCAGTTCTTAGCATACTTAAAACCTTGCACGATGAATGAAACTCTGGGAAGACAGTAATAGGATTGCAGCACAGTACAGTGTGCAGTACAGACTCTATTTGGCTAAGAAGGAAGAAAAAGCTGAAATGGTCCATGATGCCCTACCTCTTTATGATAGTGATCACAAGTGCTTTGTGCTTTAAGATGCTTTTTTGTGATCAGTAGACTATTCAGATGAAGGTGAAGATTCTCAAATTTGGTTTTACAGGAAAAAGACATATGGAATTATAGACAGAAAAACAGCATTCACTCTAATTATTAGACAGTAAAACTGTTTTTCCATCCCAGACACCTGAGAACATAATTCAGAATAGATAGCCCTTCTTTTCCTTTGTCTTATATAAGTTATATATTGATATTCTTGGGTAAAATGTTGGTAAATATTTATATTTACAAACCACCTTATCTAGGGCGTTTATTTCTCTTTCAGCACTAGGAAGAGAATGTCAGTGATAGTTCGCACACCATCAGGAAAGTTAAGACTGTACTGCAAAGGAGCTGTGAGTTTTATTCTGTTTTCACTATATCAAAGAACGTGTGCTACCAATACAAATACGAAAGCAAAATGTTGTTATAACTGCAGTCAAAACATTGAAAATGTGGGGGAAGGAATGTTGATACCTTTTTCAATTTACATCATTTTACTATGTAGCTGTTTAATGTGATGAACTAGTTAATATCTTTTTTTACCCACTGTGTATGAAGGTATGACAGACCTGTTCATCCTGTTCTTTGTGCTGGACTAACACCTTCATATTAATTGCTTCCCTCTGTACTCCAAAGATATGGATGAGTGTATGGTTTAATCTGTCTGCTTTCTGGAGTAACTGAGCATAAATCACTAGGTAGAAACAGAAATCTAGCCTAAGTAACTCGATGGGAATTTTAACCTACCATTGGCATTATGCCAGAAGTAAATCTTCCTGAAAACAGGATCTATGGGAAAATATCTTAATGTATCTGGGAATGGCAGAGTTACTCATTAGTTCTCGTTCTGTATCTTAAGTCAAGTTTGAGGGGGAGGGGGATGCAAATACAATTCCCGAATGGTTTAAAAAAAATGAAGTTGATTGAATAGAACGTCCATTCTGTTATCTTCTCAAGTGGAGAGAAGAAGCTGTTGTTAATGTTCTGTATGTCAAGCTGGCTACAAAAAACTGAGAATGGCAGTTATGAAATACTGATTTTACCTTGTGGGCTTAATATGAAAGAGGAAGATAGCATTTTAGGAGATCAAAAGAACTCACGTGGCAAGCCAAAGGAAAATGCAGCACTTTTCAAACTGAAGGGAAATAACAGCAAAAAATGTGGGAGAGGAAAACTGCATCATGGCAGAATTTGTGGATGTAGAGAATCTGAGGATTTGGAACGTCCTTTTTTCCTTCCTCTGAAATAAAATTACTTTGATTAATTTTTGATGCTGAAATAAATTAATACAGTGCTGCATAGTTTTCTGCCATTTTCCTACATGATTTTTATTGTCTACACAAAACCCCTCATTTTTCTGTTAAATTATTCTGAGTTAATTTTATTTGTTTTGTAGGATACTGTAATTTATGACCGTCTTGCTGAAAGTTCAAAATACAAAGAAATCACTTTAAAACATCTAGAGCAGTTTGCTACAGAAGGTGAGTGATATTATTCAGTATAAAACTAAGTATGAAATTCAGTTACTGCTCAGCTTTTCAGTTTTGCAGTTTTATGTTACTGTAATGTTGTATTCACATTGTATGAAAATTATGTTTTAGTAATGCCTCCTAAAAAAGATCTTCCTCTTCCTGAGAAGTTTCAGTAATAAGTTCATGCTTAAAAAACAAAACAAACGAAAGAAACACCCACATAGGACACAGTGGAGTCTTCTAAACAAAATATATTTTTCCAGAGAGCAAACACATGACATGTTGTTTGTTTCTGTAAATATTTATTTCCCATAAATCCCATTCCCATAAACCATGTTTTAGTATCTTTGCTGTTTTAACAATCACTCTTACAAAGCAGTTGCTGAAGGCAGGGGACCCCTCCATGAGGGTTCATGAAGTAGGAATAGTAAGTAAAATTTAAGTGACTGTGAAATTAAGATGATTGATACAAACAGTCAGTTAGTTATTTAATAACAGTGGATTCCACAGTACAAATGTGAGCAGGAAAGCAGACTGTAGAAGGGTTTCTGCTTTCATGCAGGTTCTTCTAGCACAGTTCCTAGATCTTCCATGCCATGCCCCCTTTCTGGTATCTTAGTAAAGGATTATAGAGTTGTACTGTGAAGTATCATAGTGTTTTAATTTATCGGAGTTGTGAGACAGTGGTCGGAAACAGATTTATAAGAGTTATGGGAATCTGAACTGCAGGTTTTTTACCTCTTCATTTTTTTAATACACTGTTACTAGAACATTAAAATTATCTCTAATGTGTCTTAAGAAATAAGCTTACGCTGGAAAGCAAACTTTGTTAAAATGTTTTGCTTCTAAAATACAATCCTTACCTTTTGGTAACTGACGTCTGGCCAAATCTTCTTGTATCAGGAAAGATCCTTTTTCTATCTGTTAATACGTATTACTTCTCTAATTTTTCTTTGGTTTATAGTGGAATTTAACATTTTGATTAGTGATATAGTCAGCACCTTCAGTCTCTTTATTCTGTCAGTGACAGCAGAAGCAAGCCACAGATCTGTTTCTTTTGTTAGTTTTTCTTATCAAGATCTCTGCAGGAAACATTTGGTTAGCCTTAAATAATCTTAGAGTATCAAAGTTATAATTAATTATACAATGAAGTTGAAAGCACAGCTAAAAACAAACTAATTTGACTGATAGTGCAACATGAAGCCTCAAAGACACCCTTTGAGCTCATGAATCTAGTTGTATGAGCTGATTGACCACTTTGGGGTTTTATAAAGACCTAACCAGGATCAGTCAAGAAAAAGTTACTTAGATTTGAAGTTAGTTTGGATCATAAGGCTATATCTTTGGTTACAGAAAAAGTAAGAATAGATCAGTGTCTGCTGTCCTGTGTGAACTGATAGGAAAAATTCAATCCAATTCTTAATTACTGTTCTCATTAAATCAGTGGTACAACTGATATCATTTTTTTCCTTAGCAGTCACGTTGGACCAAATGAATCAACATAAAAAGTGAAAAATTCCACCCATCTTTAAAACCACTGTACATACATATTAGTGTTAAGAAGTTTGTTCAAGTACTCTTTGTACGCTTCTTTTCAACAGATGAAAAGATTTACTGTTCAGAAGAGTGAATTGCTAACCTTTCACAAGCATTAAAATTCAATCTTTAAAAAAAAAATTAAGTATGTGTGTCTCTGGAATCGATTAAAGAAATCGGTATTTATTTTTGCATAGATTTCAATTGCAGCCAATGAAGTTGCAAAGTTTCTCATGACTATCCTTTCATGTGGCAGTACAGTATGTCCTTGGCACTTGCTCCATGCTCTTGGTGTGTTGTTCAAAAATGAAGTGGTTAGCATGGCTGGCATTTATATTTAAGCATTTATTAAGCTTGAGTGTTAATGCCTACCTGGATAAATAGAAAAAGTGTGTAATTTTCCTGTGGTGGTGTTCCAGTCTGTTAAGAAGCAGGCTTAATGATATTTTGTTTTCCACTTTTCATTTGGAAGATTCTTTTAAATCACAATGAAAAGAATCTTTTTAAAATTAAAAAAAAAGTGTCTGATTTAAAAAGAAAAAGCAAATACATTAAAAAACTTGTTTTCTGATATTCCATACACACTCAAACTTTTTTTAATTTGGTCATCTACATAAAATACTTTGGAAGAATTGTGGAAATAGTATCACTATTAGTCATAAATTCCTTTCTTCCCATTTACTTCATACTCGTTGCTTTGGACCCTGCTAGAATATCCTTATTACACAGAGAAAAAAAAAAATCAGTTGATTTGTCAGTCTTAAGTTTATTTTCTAGGTCTGGATGGTGAGATGCTGTGTTTCTAATGCTGTTCAGTTGCCAAGATGTTAGGATTACACATGGTTTTCATCCTGAAGATATTAAATTACTGTCTTACATCTAAGACACATATGTATTATTTCATGCCCAGCCTCTTGATCATTTCAGAATTACTGCTGGTGCTTAGCTGTACACAGTAGAAACCTGTGAACAAATAAAGATTGCATTTAGCCTTCCCTGGCTATACGAAAACGAACTGTTAGAACATTCACACCTAGCTATTTAAATTGAATGTAAATGTGTGTTGTCAAAAAATAAATGTTTCTTATAATATCGCAGTCTCAGATTCTCACTGTAGTGCTTAATTCATTTCTGAAGGAAAAAAATCTGTTAAGTGTAACCAGCTCAAAAGTTGTTAAGTAAAGTCTCCAAATGTTTCCTGTACACAAAGATTTTATTTTAAGAATTTGGAAAGCTGAAAGAATCTGTGAGATGGGAAAATTAAATCTGAGTGGATTCAAAGTTGGCTTCTAGGTGGTAAATTTCAAACTTCAACTGAGAATTTCCTAAGGATATTGAGGAGGGGTAAAGAAGAAGGTACTTCTAACGTTATGCTGATATATTTTAACTTCATTGCTTTCCAGCATAGCGACATTTAAATTTACAAAGTTCTTGTTCAGAAATATAATTCAATCTTATAGTTTTAATGTTCCTAGAAATCTAATGTGTATATCTGTTCAGCAAGTGTAATTTGGGATTGCTTCATGTTTTCTTTACAGTTTAAGATAAGTCAAATCTTGTATAAAATTTCTTTTTTTTTTTCCCTGAAGTACATCACCTGTATTACATTCAACTACCTTGAAACAGTTACTCTGTTTAATAAATTTCTATTTATATCATATTTCTTACTTTACGTGTATTAAAAAAAGTTCTTCAAGACATGCAGCAGTAAGTTGAAAATCAGGCATAAGCGTGCATAAAATACAGAATAAATTCAGCTTTTAGTAGTTATTCATTGCAGGCCTATCAAGGAAGGGACTAACAAATACTGCATCATACTTACTACCTGCTTTCTCTTTAGGCTTAAGAACTCTGTGTTTTGCTGTGGCTGAGATTTCAGAAAGTGATTATCAGGAGTGGTTAGATGTCTATCACCGTGCTTCTACAGCTATACAAAACAGAGCACTCAAACTTGAGGAGAGCTATGAACTAATTGAAAAAGTATGTGTAGCTTTCTGAGTTGTGGGGTTTGGGGGGTTTGGGGAGGGTGGGTGCAGGGTTGGGGGCAAGAAGAGTGGAGGGGGTTTATTGATGTCCTTGCTTTCTATACCAAGAAATCTCAATCATTGAGGAATAATGCTTCGAAAAAAAATCTAGCAATATGCTGACAGCTGTGTCACGTAGTCTTTGCAATGTAGATAATCAAAATGAAGGAAAGATTGATTTGAGGAAGTTTTTGTAGCAAATAGCTACCTTGCCAGAAAGTGTGGATATTGAGTTGAACTACTGGAAAGCTGTTTTCCAGAGTTGCTCTGTTACTTAAAAGAAGTGTAATGACAGGCAAACAACATCTCCTTCATTGTATAATGAACTTAGAACCATAGTGTAGTTAAGTTTGGAAGGGACTTCTGAAGGTCATCAAGACACAAATCCCTGCTGAAAGCAGGGCTAAATTTGCTTGCCTGGCACTTTGATGAGGTTTTGAGTATCTTCAAGGAGGGAGTTTTCCCAGCTGCAGTAGGCAGGGGGTTTTTAAGTGCTCAACTATTCTTTTTCCCCTTTTTCTGAACTAGAATTTCTGTTGCTGCAGAATGTGACTGTTGCCTATTGCCCTTTCACCATGCACTTCTTAGAGGAAGATGGCTTCTCTGCAAGCCCTCTTCAGTTAGCAGAAGGCAGCCATAGAATCCCTCCATTAGCCTTATTTTTTTCCACGTGTTAAACTCATCCTACTTCAGGCACTCTTAATATAGCGTGCTCCACACCCCAAGCTATTTTTGTCTCTCCACTGGACTTGCTCCACTTCATCAACCTCTCTTATACTGAAGGCCCAGAAAAGGAGGTAATACCCAGATGCAGCCTCACAAGAGCAGAGCCATAATCACTTTCCCTTGAGTTTCTAGCAACACTGCTGCTGGAGTAGCCAAGTATGTGATTAGATTTCACTGCCTCAACAAAAAAGGCTCCTGTGGCTCTCAAACGTAAAAGCAAAAGGAGTTCATAAGACCAATATTGCTTGAAGTTTTGATACTTGACTTTTGAGGGGAGGGTGGATTTTGGTTCTTTTCCCTTGGAAAGGATAAGAGAGATTACATTGATGAAACTGCTTAAAATTCAGAGCCTCAAAAAACTGCAGTGTTTAATTTAATGAAAAAGAAGAGTGAGGGTATATAGCTTCAGTCACTTGTGGGACTTAGTTTACATAGAGGAGCAGTTTATCCAGACATGCACAAGACAGTCTTAAAACTGTATAACTCTGTTAACGCCATGACAGCCCTGTTACCATTACAAATTTTTGTATTAGCTGCGCAGGTACTTTCTCAGTATGTAGTATGCAGGCCATGCTGCAACCAGAATTGCACAGTCTTGGGTTTATAATGGTGTCATTAACAGGGTTTTAGATAATTTCAAAGGTACAGAAATATGAAGTATAAAAATGGCTGTACTCACAAAAACTGTATATATTTGCTGCATGGGAAGTTAAAACCAAACATAATCAAGATTATAGTTTTAAGATTAAGATGAATTGACAGGTTTGGCCTTTTTTTTTTTTCTTTTACAAGTCAGAGAATACATAATAATAACACACTCCTTAAGTCTTCAAATCAGAGAGGTGCCCCTCAAAAAAAGTAGCTGTTGGAGAACAAGCTACTGAGTTTGTGAATAGTTGAATGAAGTTTGACTGGTCATGCTGGGCAATTTGTCAAGCCATATAGATATTCAACTTAAAGCTCATAGGAATAAACTGGAAGATCTTTATTAGTTAATCCCAAATCTGATTAATGAATTTAGAGAGCATTAATCTTGTCATAAATACGGAGAGTGAAACAAAAGAAATGGAAAAATTAAAACTGAATTTAAACTCAAAAAAACTGCATGTACTGAATATTTTATGTTCACAGAATCTTCAGCTGCTTGGAGCAACAGCAATTGAAGATAAACTACAAGACAAAGTGCCTGAAACCATAGAGACACTCATGAAAGCAGACATAAAAATTTGGATTCTTACTGGGGACAAACAAGAGACTGCCATTAACATCGGTATTATATTTGCATTTATTTGATGGCTTTTTTACAGATTTAGAAATGATAGAAGTTGCTGGAGTAAAATTGCTTTCAGAACGGAAAGGTACCTTGCAAAAATAATATTATGTGGCATTCCAGAATTTAAATGTTAAGTTGTTTTTCAGTCACTAGTAGGAGGAGAGTGGGGAATGGTGGATTCTTCCTCCATTAAAGCAAGAAAACATAACAGCAAGAAAAATTAATGTTATCATAGAGAGACAGGAAAAAATAGGCATTTGTGATTTTTTTTGTAGCATCTGAAATGAATTAAAAAGAATACATTTTTGGGGTTTTGACAGTGAGAGGGAATAATATTAAGAAAATGTAAGTATTCTTAGTTTCCCTTCTGTATTTTTTTCCAAGAAAGCTGGTAGGAACCATAATCTTAACTAAAGCAAAACAGTATAGATTGTACATTAAAGTACTTTAAACTTCACCATCAATCAGAGGTTTCCTTTTATTCATTCCTTTTATTATAAAGAAGGAAAAAAAAAATCATAATTAAGTAATTTCAACAACAATAAATCTGTATTTTTAAATAGTGATACATGAAAGCTGCATTTAAGATTTTATATTCTTTGCATGCAAACGTATCAGCACTTCTGTGGCAGCTTAGATATGTGCCCAAAATAGAGCATTATTTTGGTGATATGGATACTTTTTATTACTTTTTTTTTTAATCTTAAAGAACTTTTGGTATACACATGATACAGTTGATCTAAAGTTATTTTCAATAGTACCTTCAGGTTTGAGGCAATACATGTAATACCAGTATTTTCACTTTACTAAGAATGATGATATATATATTTGTCTAGGCAGCCTGCATCATTAGGACACAGCATACATTCTGTTTAAAGCATCAAAGAATAAAAAGAATGGGAACATGTGTATGTGCAAGTTTTGTATGAAATGCAAGTTGCATTCTAAAAATTTGCAGAGCTAAGGGAGGTTTGTTTTCTGTAACTCCCTGTAAAGATGGTTTTTGTCTGTCTGCTGAGCACCCCTGAATAAAGCACAACAGTTGCAAGTTGCAGCAAGGAAAATTCTGACTGTTTGGACTTAGTACCTGCATGTCTAGTTTTTACAGAATGCAATATAATCAGTAAAAAAAACTGTTGATTTCAGCTGGGGAAGTCTTGTTTTTAATTCTGTCTCTTTAGTTCTCTTTACAGGGAAATTTAGTTCTCTTACAGTGAAAAAAATGTGTTGTTATATTGTAATGGATTTTGTGGAACAGATTTTTGAAAACAAAAATGTTTTTAACAGGTCACTCCTGTAAACTTTTGAGAAAGAACATGGGACTAATTGTTATAAACGAAGGCTCTCTTGATGTAAGTAAAATCTGCAAAGTTCTTAGTTAATGAAATGTTACTTTACTGCTGAAAATATCCAGGTGCATTGGTGGAGGTGGCCTGCAAAATAACTTGAAGCATCTATTTATCTGGACAAACACTGAAAATTCTGCTAAAACCATGGTTTGGTGTGGGGTTTTGTTTCCGTTTGTTTGGTTTTGCGGGGTTGCTTGTTTGTTTGTTTTTGTCATCTTCTCAGTTAATTTTAGCATTGTGTACCTGGAAGACCATATGGTCTTTGTGACAAAACGTTACTGATTAACTAGAAACTTAGTCTACACCTTCCAAAACCACAGTGTAGCTACTGCACAAAGGAACTTCAGAATGATGAGCAAACAAATTCCATGTAGTGCGATGACTCCATCTGTGCAGGCACAAAGCCAGGAGCTTCACATGCTTCTAGTAGCACCTAGCAGTGCCCAAACAAACTAATCTTAAGTTCCTTTCTAATGCCATTTCTTACAGAATACTTAGTAACTGCTAAATTTTAATTATTATTGTGTGGTTAAACAGCTGAAATTGTAATCAGATGTTTAAGTACAAGTAAGGGTTAAAACTACCAACTTGCAAGTATACAGAGCTTTGTAGAGAAGAGTTTCTTTAGATGAGGTAGGAATGCAATATGAAGTGAAAAATCTCATGAGAGGAAAGAACTTAAATCCTTTTACCACCCTCTAAGGGAGCCTTAAATGAACTTAGAAGTGAAAGAGTTTCCTCAGTGGGAAAACTCACTGTCCAGAAGGCTTCAGGAGGAAACCCTGAAATGAAGTTTACCTTACTCTGTGTTGTGGTCAGGTTGCTCAAGATAGGACTTAGGGAGAGAAAGTGAAAAGAAAGTGTGAGAATCAGCAAGAGTACCTTAACTGAAGGATTCCACAGCAGCATGTAAGAATAGGCTACAACATGAACTAAATTACTACTTTTTTTTTTTAAATAAGTACTTCTTTAAATGTTTTGACCCATTCAGAATAACACATTTTCAGCATTAGCATTAATTTAATCATGATGACTATATCTCAAATATAAGTTGTTTTAAGCAATATATTTTTGCTGATAAAATTTAAAATAAAATCCCAAACACAGGACAGGCAGAAGCTGTTGATTAATGTCTGGAACCAGAGTCTGTTGATACAGTAAGCAACTTTTGATACAAGTAGCCTGTGATATTAATGGAGAGAGGCAATTTTCTTTTCTCAGTTTAGTTCATTGGATAGCTTTTGAAAGTTTGCGATTGTTGTTTGTTGAAAAAACAGGGAAGGTTTTTGGTTCAAGCCATTAACTTTGCTTTTGAGTTTTTCACTGCTCAAGCAATCTTTGAGTAAAAATTAACCAATGCAAGTGAGAACTTCTGTCCTATATTTAGGTTATTTACGCAGACTGCTGTATTTCAGAACTGCTGCAAACGATTGACCACTTTGTATGCTTCTTCACATTTAATGAAATAAAGTGAGGTAGTTTTATTTAACTATTAAAAGGAGTCCAATAAAAACTCATTAAACAAGAGTTGCATATTAACCACTTCTAGTGTGATGATTAAAGGTTGAATGAATAATGTTAAATATTATTTTTAAAATAAATGTATATAGTATAAATATAGTTCAAGAATAAAAGATAGTATCTGATATAATAACTGCACTGTACTCCCTATTTCAAACTGAAATGTCTGGATTGTGTAGAGATTGAGAGATCTTCCCTACAGGCACAAAGTACATTCAGAGTACATGGAGATGCAAATATCATATGGTAGCTGAAACTGCATATGCAAACTGGTTGCTTGCAAATCTGTCTGTGGTGATAACATAAATCGTGGTTTTTGAGGAGCAGATAAATATAATAATCAGATAGTTTGAGGGCAAGAGGCCGTTCAGAAAATAATAATAAACTATGCCAATATTTGAAGAAGAGACTCCATTAAAAGTTTTCTGCCTCGTTTGATGGTGCACATTTCACTGTTTGATTAATGTATACCTTGTGTCCTACCTTTTCATTGCTGGTGTGGTTGGAATCAGATGTCAGTCTCCATTTCCAGTGCGACTGGTTGAGTCAAAAATGGCCTTGAAAATTCTGATGGAGAAGTGGAGCAGGTCTCAGGAAAGGGAAAAGAGGGATGGACTGCTGTGATTGCAGAACCTTGAGTCAGTGCAGCTGCACGGGTGGATGCAATTCCACTTTCCTTTCTGCGTACCAATAACAGCTGACAAGAGGCCATAATACTTAGTTGGAATATTGTCTGTTAAGGAATATGGCTGAAACTTTGGCTTTTGAGCAGCATAGGTCCACCTCTTGTACTGGGACTCTGTCCCTTACCTTGCAAGGGAACTGTGCTCCCATGGTGCTGGAGAACCCAGTTCCCTCAGCATAGGAGGAACTGAGCAGCCATGAAACCTTGAAGAAAAAAAATCCCAGTGTAGTGAGACCTGTGTATTTAGGATCTTTGAGAAGAGTTGCTCTGTGGCAGTCCTCTCCTTGGCTCTATAAGGTATGGGTGTAACCTTTTGGCTATATAAAGATGTGATACGTTAGGAGTTAGGAGTTAGGAAGGTTGGCTCCTCTTGGTCTACATACTCTGCAGTACTGAAAAAAGAGTGGCCGCAAGTGGATGCTTCTTGCCCTTGCTTGTATTAAAATAATAGTACAATATCTGTTGCATACCAGTGCCACCTTCTAAAAAGGAATTAGCTCAACTCTAATACTTTTACGGACAGGCAGAATCCTCTGTCCCTAAGACATGTAAAACAGATTTAACAAAACAAATACTTCCTCAATTTGGTCATTATTATGACCTTAGCATGCACGACAGAGGAAGTTAGAGTAAGAGAAATATATATATTTGTTCAGACTGTATCCCCGCTCTCTGAACTGAGTTTACAAAGAATATGCTGAAATAAGAGATCCTCTTTTGTTTGAACCAAAACCCCTATTTATGGAGTTAAAAGAAAAATACCCAAACCTACCCACCCCACCCTCCCCAGTTAGCATTGGCTGGTATAGAACTGGAAGGACTTCCAAGAAGCATTTAAATATCTCTGGTTTTTGCAACATTATTTGTTTTGAGGCTCCACTCCCATGAACATCAGCTTAGCTTCACAAACTAACTGTTTTTGTTAGTAAGTTCTTGTATAAAAGAACACTGGATTTTATTTTGCCTTCGTATTAACCTAAAGGACTGCGAAATTTTAGTATAGTACTGTTAATCATAGACAGAAATCATAACATAGCCTTATTCTTTTATTTGTGAACTTAAACTGAAACTAGAAAATAGTTTGATTACCATTCAGGAGAAATACTTCAGCTTAGCTTCACAAACTAACTGTTTTTGTTAGTAAGTTCTTGTATAAAAGAACACTGGATTTTATACTTAATGGAAGAAATACTTAATGGAAATGGTGTAGAAGTGAATAAAAGATGTTTTTATACTGCTTTTAATTTAAGGCATTGTATTTCAGCATAGAACTACATGTAAGCACACAAAGGAATTTTAAATATGACAGTTTTACAGTTGGAGTAAGTGTATTGTTTTGTTTTGGAGATTTTTTGTTTGTTTGTTTTAATATGTAGCATGCCTGGAGCTACCTGATGACATGTCTGTCTGTGATAAAAAATTAAGGTCAATTTAAACAGAAGTTTATCCTGCATGTATGAGAAGAACAACAGATGAGAGGAATACTAATTTTGAGGCTCTTCTATTGCTTAAACTTAGTCAGAAGCTAAATAGTCCATGGAGATGAGAAAAACTGATACTTTCTTTGCGTTGCAATATTTTTAATCAGAGAAGACACTCTGGAAAATAGTTACAAAAGTTATTGTCATTTTAAAGACTTTCTAACATGTAATTTTAAACAGTGGCACCTCGTTTCCTTTGCACCTGAAGTGCAGAATTCCCCAACAGCTTAATCTCCTTTTAGATAAACCAATGAATCTTTAGAAGATCAGTGGAAGCAAAGTAGGCAAAAACCATGGACAACAGTTGGGTGGGAAAGGCAAAGCAATATCTTTAATTTCATTTCAGAGGGTTTTGAGATTTGTAATTACTTCTCGGTGTTTTATTTTTAGGTGGTTACACCAAATCTTATTTACATATGCCTGACATCGCTGAATTATTTGGTTGTTAAACATGTAGAAACTTGCAGAAAAATATAGGGACATTGTCATAAGATGTTACTGGTTTCCAAATCCAGTATTTTATAAGTAGAAGTCTGGGGTTTTTTTCATTTTCCTTTCTCCTCTAAAATGCTTCTTACTTCTGGGCTGCAAAGCAGGAAACAATAGAAGAAGAATGTGTTGTAACTCTATGAAGTCCATTGAAAAAGAAAGAAATGCAACAAGCAATTTTTTTCTTCTTCATAACACTCAATGGTAGAGGTGTACTATAACTAACTAGATAGTAGTCATCTCCCCAAAGCAGGCTGTGAACTCCTACTGCATAAATACAGATGAATGTATCGTCTACTGAATGTGATCTGAAGGTCTCAGTACTGGATTATGGAGTAGTAACTTGTGTAGGTGAAATTCAAATTGTCCTTGGCAACTGAAAAATACAAAATATGATCCCTTATATAAGATGTAGTTGACATCGGCTTATCTTAAAATATAAATTTAATATGATAGTTAGAATTATTGGTTATAGTGCATGTACTTATGAATTCTCTGATGTTGCTTTTACTTTTTTCTAAACATTTAGGACCACTTTTTATAATAGTGAACAAAAATTGTTTCTCTTGGTATCTATACAGATGTGAATCTTCTTTTGCATAGGTATAGAGAAAACTTAATAATATATTTTAGCAAACATTTATGCAATTATTGTTGCCATTCAAAGAGCATTAAAAGTTCCACCATAACTTATATACATTTTTTTTTTGGCAGAATGCAAGAGCAATCCTACGCAGAATTTCTACTGTGGTTTCTAATAGTACAGCTGTTGCAAACACTTTTTTCATTTTATACTGTCTATTTAATAGCATAATCAAAAGGTAATTTCCTCAGAAAACAAAATGCCAGTGTTTCTGATCATGCTGAAGAAAAAAATTGGACTTAAGAATAGTCAGAATTAAAAATAATGGACACAATTTTTTTGTGCAACAGGGAACAAGAGAGACACTTAACCATCATTGCAGTACTCTTGGTGATGCTTTAAGGAAGGAAAATGATTTTGCTCTCATCATTGATGGTAAATCTCTGAAGTACGCTTTGACATTTGGAGTGAGACAGTATTTCCTGGATTTGGCTTTGTCATGTAAAGCTGTTATTTGTTGCAGGTAAGGTTTACATTATTCTTTCTCTACAGTATTTTTATTGACATACAAAAATTAAGAAACTTCTTTTATTTCGAAGAAAATACAGATATCCATGTCATCCAACCATGAAATATTTAAAAAAAAAAAAAAAAACCCAAACTTCAGTAGCTGAAGTTATGAAATACAGTCATTCAAGCAAAATATTTCTGCAGAGTGGTCTGCAACAGAGTGTAGCTGTCAAACAAAGTCTTTCAGATTGCATATACCCAGAAAAATAATTTGTTTTCCGTCAAGGGTAGTCTCAGCAAGATTGAGACACTGATCTTAATCTTAAATTGGTACTACGGTTAGCTGCAGGTTTTAGCACATCTGGATTCTTTTGTAGAGCTTCCTCTGCAGACGAGGTTTTATATCTCTACTTTCCTGTAAGCCATGGATTACACTGCATAAGAAGCAGACAAAAATGTTAAAGGTACTACTCTGGGTGATTTTTATTTCCTGAAGCTGATGGAAACGCCTTTTTTTTAGTAGTAGTAGTATGCCTGATTGCTTTGGGGTTCTTCTATGCAATCGGACCTTTCATCCTTTCCTGTAAACATTAGCTATTAGAGCTGTAAGCTTACCATAACAAGGGAACTTTTTCCAGATTAAATATCTACTTTCCTTAAATATCTGCAATATGAAAGCAGTTTGGCTTGTCTTTTAATATTTCCAGATTTATATTAAGGAAGGAATACGTAGGACTGTATAAGTGATAGCTTATGTGTTTTGGGGCCTTCTTGCATTTTTATGGCATTAAACACAAAAACTGAAAATGTCTCCTAAGCAGTACATCACCTTTTCTACCTTTGAGTGATTGAACAAAAAGGGAAGTTGGGTGCTTGGTAGCTAGATAAACAAGAACTGCTCCTGTCAATATTTAAAGAACTTGGTTTAGGTCAAGTGATTAATCTGTCAAAAAGCAGAAGCAAGGAGTTTTCATTACAAGACCACTGGCAACACAAGTAGGATATCTGTATTAGAAATGCAATCAGAACTGTGGAAATCACTGTTATTTTCATCAGTGTCTGAGGTAACTATTACAAGGATAGCCAGCTAATGTTCTCAGAGTATTTTTCGCTATTTTGACCTTCGTAGTAGCATGGGAAAAGCTGTTTCCTGTATTAAAACAGGAAAAGTTAGCTCGGAAACAAGGTATTCAGGCTCATCTAGAGTATCTATAGCTTGCTGTTTCTCAGTATACAAGTGTCACAAATTCAAGTTCTCACAATTAATATAGTACTGAAATTTTTAGGATTGTCTGTGTATTCAAGTTACGTCTCATATTTAAATAGGATGCTATGTCTGATAATAATTGCTTTAGAAGAAGAATCTGTGAAAAAGGAGGTCAGTCTGGATTTTGTACAAGAATAAAATAATTCTTAGAATTCAGCATCACTTCTTGCCAAATTCAAATCTTCTTTTAATAAATTATATAAGCTCTACTGCCTACTACCTCATTATTGCCTATTCTGTTATCTACCTGAAGGTAGAGACATGGTCTGTACAAATGTGAAAACTGTTGTAAATATACCTTAATAGATTGTCTGCTCTTGATTAATAAGATAAATAAATGGAAGGTTCTTGTGTTCAGGGAGAGAGTTTAATAATGTTCCATTAGGATAAAGCAGATTAATCAGAAAATCAGTGTTCAAAATGGGGCTGGTTTTCTGCCTTGCAAAAGGAGAGGGAAAAGCAAATGAGGTTATAGTGTCCAAATAAACACTTGGTTTGTAGTCTTTCCATCCTTTCTGTCAAGCGATATGTTATGCCACCAAGTAATAATTTTTTTTTTATGGTTTAGCTTTGTAGCCATGCTCCAGCATGAAACTCTCTGAATTTCAAACTAGGGTCTTTCTGTCTTTTAAACTGAGATCTTACACCGATACACACTTTATACTGTGTATAAACATTTTTCTAACAGCAGTAGTCATTCTGACAGGCAAGTTGGAGCTTTGTGCTTATTCTACGAGTTCCAGTTTTGCTCAGTATAGTAAGTAACAAGCAGGAGATGCATATAGAACTGCTCTTTCAAAACTATGTTTCTCTTTCTTCCCTTGATATGAAAATATATCTTATGCCGTTTGAAGAGACAATATTACCATTTCTGTTGAACTATAGAAGCATTGAAGGATATTATGTATATATGATATTATGTAGCTGTCTTTTAATGGTAACATTTTTGTGATGAAATAACAAAACGTGCAAAGTGAAAGTTTCTGTGCTGGTAGCATTCTCTGCCATTTCTACATTTCCGTACTATACTTAGGTCAGCTGGTTTCAATTCATGTCTAGGTATATGCTCTGACATACTTTGTGGTGGTTTAAAAATTGGCTGCAGGTTTAAAACTAAAATACCTCCTTGTAATACTCACTGTTTTAGTATATGTTTTTTTAATATCACATGCTTCTCAAAAGTCAAGATTCTGTCAAAATATTTATTTCTGTTAATGCTCCATCTTTAGTAACAAAAACTTAACTTCCTTGTTTGTGAGCTTGAAAATAAAAAGTTTTAAAATGGTAATTTTTAATTAAGGTAAATCACTTAAATATTGTCCTGACTAAATGAAAATGTAGGCCTTTTCTCCATCCATATAAAGATGGTAGACATTTTAAGCACTTTTGGTTTTAAAAGTACAAATTACATCACTTTTAGAAGTTTTCAGACTATATTCACTTGTTCAGAAGCATTTATTACCAATGGATTCTTCCTAAGAGTAGCCATAATGCAGATGAAGCTGACATATTCAGTAGACATTTCACTTCAAAAAATCTGTGTGTTATTAATTCCAAGCAGACGTTTGGCCTAAAGACTTTGATGAAGTGAATTCCAGCTTTATATTGGCTTCAGAGTAATGTGTGCAAGAAGAATGTTAAATGGATTATTCTGTAGTAAAAATGTACAGCTAAGAGTGAACAAAATGAACAAAAGACTTTTTTTTTATTGGTTTCACCAGGAGTTTCATGCACCAGGCAATGAGAGTGCCATTTTCCAACTGACCCTATAACATTGTCTGAAAGGGAAATTAAGCCACTGTTCCTAGAAAGTTTAAAAAGACGAAAAAGAAGTTCTCAGGTCAGGAATCTTCTATAGAACCTGGCTGCAGCGAGTCTTGATGCAATACTCATCAGCAGAGTTCAAATAAAACACATAACAAAAGATCATAGAAATGCTTTTTGATATACTTGGACCACAGAATTTTTCTGAAGGGCTGTTGCCCAAAAGCTTTCATCCCAAGTTTGCCACAAGGCTGTACTCATCCCAAGTACCTTTTTCAAAAGTCTGATAGCATGTGTTGTGCAGGCTGCTGAACAAAGTGATTAGATAGCTACCTTCAATCCAAAGGCTGTATTATTTTTCACTCCTTTATTTTTTGCTTTTGAAAAAATCACACAATTAAATTTTATGCAACCTTTTTCTATAATTTATTGTGCTTAAAGCTTAAGAAATTTTCCTTAATCGGCAAAGAGTAGGATTGGGGTTTTTTTTCAGCTGATGGAACATCACCCAAAGGTGAACCATGAGAAGGTGTTGTCTGGCAAATGGAGGGGAGAACCAGAAGAGCTACAAGGATGTTACTGGAACCCAGTGGTAGTTAGAGTATAGTACGTGAACAAAGATGAGCATAGATACCATGTACCCAGTTTCCCTTCACAACACGTCTCAGTGTTAAGCACGATAGTCTAGACAAGAGGCAACCACCATTAGTGTACCGCTATGCTGGGAACTCAGTAATCTATCTAATGCTGAGGTTTAATATTGTTGTTGAAACTTTTTTTTTTTTCTTCCTATAACTTTATAGGGTAGGTAAAATAAAAAATATTGACATTTGCTAGAGAAAAAAGGAAAATTTTTTCTTTTTTCTTTTCCAAATGAGCTATGGACCTTACACTATTCCTTCATATTTCTTCTGTGACACCGAAACTGAATCAAGTATCAGTCTGTAAAAACACCACCATGGTGATGTGGACTGAAGTCATAAACTCATACCGTTGGAAGTATGGTATATAGTGAAGCTGTGTGATTATGATGCATACCTAAGATCTCATACTACAAAAGACAAGGGGGATTGTAGCTGAAACAAAGAATATAACAAAATATGCTTCAAATGTAATATTAATGAATTTATCGAAGAGATAGTGTGCTTTAGTTTCAGAAGTTGCATATCTTGGTACGAAATACAAGCAGGAAGACAGATCATGCTCTCAAAAAAATTTTTTTTTAATAATTTCTGTTTAAAATTTGGTGGCTTAAAACAATTCTCTCTAATATGCTTGGTAAGTTGACTTCCTCCACCGGGAATAGTTTGGGATCCTCTTTCAGCTTTTAAGTAGTTTGAGTTTCAGAAATGTGTGAGTTTTAACTAGTAAGAATTGTGATTGTTACTGTAATTTATGGGTTTAGACAAAACTTAATTCTTCATGGTTGTTATATGAATAAATGTGTGTTTCAGGACATAGAAAGCATGTCGAAAACCTCAGTTTTCTCCTGCAGTTTTAAGGTATGTTTCAGATTAATGATGATCAACCTTAGATGGCTGCCAACGTAAACAGCCTTTATTTTAGTGGGAAAGGGCTTTCCTTTCATAGGCAATTAATTATTGGTTCGGTGAAATTTGCCTTTCTAAAGGACATATTCATCAAAATTTCTCAAAGATTGTTTCTACTTTTACCCTTATTTGTTAGCTTTTCTCAAATCTTTGTGACTTGGATTTATTAATACAGGAAAGTGGATAGTAGATAATACCAGCAGTGTGATGTCAGAGATTTGGGTTTTTTCTGAACTTTTTCACTACTCCACTGCATTTACTTTTTCAGTGAAGACCAGCCACAGCTGTCAATTCTAAGAAAAACTTTGGTTTCCTTTTTTTAAGTTTACAGCTTTTCTGTCATGTGAACACTGGATTTTGTTATGCTATCTCTCTGGTTTTCTTTGGTTTTGGTGGTTTGTTTTTTTTTAAAAAAAAAAAGTTGTTTTCTAATTGCATGCTTATTCAGGCAGAATGGAAGGTAGCTGGTGCGTAGCCATTAGCTTCAGCAATCATGTAATTGTTTGTTCGTTATGGTTTTGGTAGCTGTGGCAGAGTTTGCAGATAGCTAAAACATTGATAGCTGAGCATTGCCATTATTATCTGTGTGCTTAATGGAAAGAATATAATTGGTGCTTCAGTGTTCTTTAACTTTAAAAACTTAGGTGTGGAATGTGGAGAATTTAATACCTCTTCTTTATTTGGAAAGAGATGGGGATTTTGTTCTGTTTCTGGTTTTTTGGAGGGGGAACAGGAGGAAGTGCGATGAGGAAATTTATAAAACCAGTTGGAAAAGAAAACTTAGCCTCTCAAATTGAATTATGGATCAAAATTTTGGTCCAAATAGAGAGCAATGCATTTTAGCCTGTAATGTCAGTCTGTCCAGTGTTGAGACAGGCAAATCATTCAGCTTTGGCTGTAGTGCCAGAGATCGTTGGGCAGACGGGAACATTTTATTATGCCATGTACTAAAAAATAATTTGACTAATGTATATAGTTGGAAAGTTTTTGTTTCTTTGTAAGTGGCTTTTTTTTATTATTGCCCTCGTTAGCACTGGTTTTGTGATCTTAAAAATCAATCAATATAAATAGGATAGTATTTTTTTTTTTTGCCACATTCACTTACCAGATTTGATAGAATTCTTTGAGCTATGATTCTTCAAACTAGAAAGGACTTGCCCATCAGGAATCCTGTTAAGAATACAGCAATGTAATTTTCTCAAGTATCATGACTCCTTCCACTATTCTCATACTTATGAGAATGGTGCCTTTGGGACCTTAAGCTTGCAGGATCTTTTGTGAGGAACTTGAAGTCTGCACAGATGCCATCTCAATTTTTGGTGTGTGGTGGTAACGTTTCTTTTTGTTACTGAGCTTGTGAGTGCAGTACAGCAGTCTTGGTTCAGGTGAGAACTGTGCTCATGAACTCCATCGGCCGTGTTACTTGGCAGTATCCCAGCAAGCAGCAATAATACAGAGCATGTTCAGGAAGGAACGTCATTTAGAAGTAACTGCTCTTTTGTGCTTTTCCTTTGCAAATTTGTTCCCCAAAACTTGTATTCTTAATTTCTTGTATATTTCTGTGGTTTTGTTTTATTTTTTGACCTGGAAGAGTTAAGTCAGGTTATGAACATTCCTATATAATCCTTAACCCTGAAATTCTGTCATTGCAGAGGGAACCTTTCACAGCTCAAATTGTGAAGTTCCGGAAGCTTATGGTACCAGTGGGGTTGTTGCGCTGAGTGTGCATATAGAAGACTTGTAGGAAATTAATTACGAACACACATTTTTCCCCAGTTGTCCGTGTCAGTATATATCCAGTGGCAAGTTCTGCTTCTTACCCATCTCTGGTTTTTACATGGAGGCATCTAGAATGAGTTCATTTGGAAAGCTGGAAAGTTACATGAGAAAAGGATGGGTCTTCACCAGCTGCATGACAAGAGTCATGCTTTGGACGAGAATTGCTCTCTTTGTAGGAAGCAATGAACAGTGGCGGGGGGGAGACAGACTCAACAGAGTTTTCTGCATTTCTTCTTGTTTCTGTTTGTACTTGTTTCAACAAGAGGGGCAGGGTTTGATCCTTGACTCCAGTGCCAGGAAGCACAGGAGTGGATTCTCATACTGCTTACGGTTTGCTCCTTCCCTTCCTCACCCTGTGAGACATACCAGTCCTAGCACCTAATTCCTGTTTATTATTTTCAGTTGTGTTGTCTCAAATGCTACAAGGACTGAATTTCAACATACAGAGTAGAACTTTTACAGCATGAAATGGAAGGTACACGTGTGACACACAATGGTAGATGGAGCCAAAACTGATGCAGGTTAATCAACAGAGCTTTTGGGAGTCATCCCTGGAATAATTTGTCCCCTCAACTGTGGACAGGCGTTTTCTTCATGACAGATAATTGGAGCAGTTCTGAAAAGAACAAGGGAGAAGTTACCAGCAGTTAAACAAAATGGAGGATCAAAAGTCAATGTTCAAGGTTGCTTCTTCTGGTTTAGCACTGTAGGCTGTGTTAACAGCGGCAGTCCACTCTGTTCTGTTTTCTTTGACATCAGTGTGTTATATTTCTTGTTGTTTGTTTATAAAATACATATTTAAAATAAATATTTAAACAGAGTTTATAAGTTAAGTTTATAAGTTAATAAGTTAAGTAACTTACTTATTGAGTTAGTTAATACAAGTAGCGGCTGGGGGTTCTTCCATTACTCTGTTTTAGGGGCCCATTGCTGTTTGATCTATGTCTCTCCAGTCCTATTAACATCTTGCTTCAACAAATCCAAGGTTTCTATAAATTTCACTGGGAATGTGCTTTTAGCATATAGCCTAAAGGGCAATAACAAGACTGTGTCGCTGACCAATATGATAGTTGGCCTGTTTTTATTACCTTTTCCCAGAATATAAAGTATATTTTGAAAGTACATTCATTTGAAAGTCCTGTATTAAACATTTTTCTTTCTGTTACCCCATAGGGTATCACCACTTCAAAAATCTGAAGTTGTAGAAATGGTTAAAAAACAAGTTAAGGTAGTAACTCTAGCAATTGGTGATGGAGCAAACGATGTTAGTATGATACAAACAGCACATGTTGGTGTTGGTATTAGTGGGAATGAAGGTCTACAGGCTGCTAATTCTTCAGACTACTCAATTGCTCAGGTAAGCCATTACACTGTAAAATATTACAATGCAATAATTTAATATCAGATTAGTATTGGTGTATGCACGTTCTGATTGTATGTTTGTTCATTTTTCATTTTTTGCAGTTCAAGTATTTGAAGAACTTGTTGTTGGTTCATGGAGCCTGGAATTATAACAGAGTAGCTAAATGCATCTTATATTGTTTCTACAAGAATATAGTCCTTTATATTATCGAGGTAATTTTACAGTACAGTAAATGTTACTTCTTGAAAGTAAAAACTATTATTTTGAGCTTTTGATTATTATGTATGATTTTAAAGAAGCATTTAAACTGTCAATAAACACTTAGTACTACTGAATCTTGCTTTTTAATAAACTGATTAATATTAGTGTGAATTTTTTTTTTACTTTAAAAGACCCAGTTGTCTTAAAAATACGTACTAAATATTAGTACTGAATGTTTGTGTTGCATAATACTGTTAGCTTATTAAAATTTGTATTGTAACATCATTACAGTATTTAAGGAATACAGTTACAAGTAGCCTTAAATTTACCGAGAGATGTATATACTTAAGCTCTTTGAGCTTGTGTCAGTAACTATTCGGTTCGCAGTCTGAAGCCCTTTTTCACGTCACTGTTGAACTGCAGGGCTTTTGCTATTCAGAACAGTACTTGGGGTTTTTATATACATATTTAGTTACACGATTGCGTACTTTTCACGTGCTAATAGGGTAACAATGCTTCCTTAGGCCTTAGTTCGTGAACAGGGGAAGTTTTCTGAAAGCAGCTGACCTAGTTTTCTCACCTGGGATTTTAAGGAGATCAGTCTTGTGAAAAATACAGTAGTATGAGAGGACTGTGTTATAATAAATGTACGTTTATTGGTAGGTATGGTTAAGACAGCATGTATAGCTATAGTTTTCATGACCTTCATGACCACATGGCAATCTTAAAAATTTGAACACATTTTTTAATAGATTTTTAATTTTTTTTCTGCTCTCCATTTACTCTTCTTCTTTTTCTTTGAACAGCTGCTTGCTTTCTTATAACTAAATATGTATGTAGTAATTATGTTTATAATTGATTCAAACTTTATATTCACAATGATATGTCCAGTTAAAAATATGGGAAAAAAATTAATTTGTTGCAAAGCTTGATCACAAAAGAATTTTTTCAGTCTTCTGTATTTTTACATTAATGGTGTTAACAGTTATTCTTAAAACTCTTAGTTTTTTTAATATATTTTCAAATTAGTATCTTAAACTTGCACAGCATGTATCTGGTTTTTACTGAAAGAAAATGCCATGTTTCTGTTAGACTTGATGTAAACATTAGGTTAATATTTCCAATTTTAATATTTATCTATGTGATCTTACACTGTTAGAATTATTTGAAAATACTGTAAACATCTTTCTATGTACAAGTGTTGTAGCCAAAAAGTGTGCATTTTTCTTGGCATATTTTTTACATTTTTCTAAATTTTCCTTTTTTTCCTCTTTATTGTGTTGTTAACATAAGTAGACTTCAATCTAAGTAGTAGCAAGTTTGAAACCTGTTTAGAAAAGCATAAAATAGGAAGCTATAGAAAAAGCAAATCCATTAAAGATCGTTTTTTTGCTTTAGAAGTGATGGCATACCTTAGATCCTGCATTTCAAAAGCTGAATATCTACTTAAATTATCAGATTTCCAGAAGTACTGATTAACAGTAGCTCTGGAAATATTTGAAAAAACAGTATTAATGCATACTTTGTCTTTACAGAAAACATACAAAGTTGGTCTTTAGAACATACTACCTTATTTTTCTTAATTTTCTGTCATTGTCACCTGGAAATACATTGTAAATTTATAACTTAAATCAGGTATAAATATCCCACCATTTGTATTCTTTGTGGAAGAAAGTTAAATGCAAGGTACAGAGATCATAGTCTAAAAATACAAATGGCTAGAAGAGGTGATCTCTGACTCCTGAGCAGATAGAAGGGCAAAGAGATCATTTTTCTATGGGTTATGACCTTCTATATATAATGCATACAAGTGTTTTGCCATATACACCTTCTCTGGAAGACAAGATGACTTCTGCTTGAATTCCTGTATACCCAATGTTTGTCAGCTCAGAAAACTTTCACAGATGTTAATAGCTCATGTCAATACTGTGAGTGAATGGGCAGAAATTCATCATTGAATGTCTCTAGAAAGGACAACTGCCAGTCTTGAATCTCTCTTTTCAGTTTTTTGTACTGATCAGGCGTGGGAGCAGAGAGCTCAATGAGTATTTGTAAGCTGCTGTTTAATATGCAGAAATGCTACATCAGGAAAGTGTCTGTGAAGCTTTTGTGGCCACACCTCCTCTGTCTTGGAGTTTAGAAAATAATACTATGAAAGGCATGTCTGGAAGTTGCTTTAAATAAGTTTCCTTTTATTAGCTGACAATAACTAAAAGTACCTACCTTTACTTAATAGATGCATACTACATTTTTAAATGTCTACTCAGTACTAATCGAACAAGTAATGCAACAGGTTTCATTTAATCTAAAATATAGCCTTTTTCCTAGGCATTTGTGGGGTGATAGGAAATAAGTCCTATTGGTTTCTTAGTTCAGAAGATGGTAAAGGTCTGTAGTAATACTCCTGCACTGTAATTAGTGTTTATCAACATTTTAAACTCCTATTCATAAGAACTAGAAGTGGTTTGTCATAACTTTTTCTGCTCTATGGCTTGATGCAATAGATATTTAAACATGGGCCTCATCTTTTGTATGGGACTAGTTGCAGTAACTTTAGAGGTTATATTCTGCAGTATCATTCTAAATTGCAAGTGAAAACTTTGGATTTCTAATAGACTGCTAATGTGCGTTGTTAAGGCTGTACCGAGCCTCACACTCACATAGTCTATGCAGAGCCTTATACTTATTTTGAGGGGGCTGTCATACCTTATAATGATGGTTGGGACTGAGATTGATCTAGTGATTGAGAACTCCTTTGTGGATTGGTTTGGTTTTATAATTACCATTACTGCGTATACTCTTTTGTTAAACTACTCATTTTGTGAAGTTATGCAAATATCCCTTCTACATCAGAGGGACAAAATTTTCCTATTCCTACTTTTTATTCTGCTAGCTAGTAATAACATAAAATAACTGATTTATATTAAATATAAAAGGTTTACAATTATTTAAAAAATAAGAATTTTTGAAGATCTGCATAGGTCATTCGTGTTTCACGTAGGGAAAAATTCTAATAAAAGAGTAAAAGACCAGGACACAAACAGAAGAAACAGAGGCGTGGAGTTTACAGATCCTTAAACGTGGCCATTTGTAGCAATTTAAGTGATACTAGATAAACAATTCAATTATACTAAGTAAGTGGAGCTGTAACGTCCTGGATTTTTTTGTTCTTTAAACTTTGGATTATGTCATTTGTTTATTTTGTTCTGTTTAAAATATTTTTTTTTCCCCCAAGCCCTTTTCATTGCACTGCTGAGGTACACACTTGCTGCTGCTCTCGTCCGTAACTGAAGTTGACCATTTTGTTGCCAGTTTCCTTTGCCTGACACATCAGATGAATGCCTGTGGTCATATTGAGACCTGTATCATGCATAACTCCAAACATGAGCAGGCTTTCTGTCTATACTAACACTGCTGCTGAGCTGTAGAGTTTAGGTGGTGCTGTTCAAAATGCCATGGCTTACTTGATGTATGCAGACTGCACTGAGTTCAGTTTAAAACAGACAGCAAAAAGCAATTGTGCTTAGGCCACTTTTTTGCATTATATGGTTTGAAAACTTGGAAATAGAAGGATCTGCATTGAAGTCCATTTCATTTTAGGTGGGCTGTGAACCTAAATCTTTCCTTTTCAATGGAAATCATGTAGCCATTGAACTATAAAATGGTCTGAATCTTCAATTCCTCCTCACTTACAGTCTAAATTACTTCTTAAGGACACCTATCACATGTGGGGTGCTGGATTAATAATTTGAGCTGTTACAGTAGGATCTACCACCTAAAAGAGAAATGGCTGAGTCTGCTCTTAAATTAATATCCTGTACAACATGTCCTAAAAACTTATTTTGCAGGTACAGCTGCCTTCATTATCCATCATAATTAGGATGAAACACACTTGTCCATGAAAAAATTCCCACTGTGAAGCAATTGTTTCTTGTTGCTGTTACTATTAATAATGTAGTAAGCTCCACAGTAGTTTTTTCATATATGGTTAAGAGTGTAATTTTTCTAGGGTCCAAGGTTTAGAAGTTAGGGTAAGTAGGTAGCTTATTTTCTTCCTCTCTTACAGTTTGAGATGAGGTCTGTATTTATCCTCCCTGCCCCCCCGCCCCCCCCCCATCCACTAGTTATTTTTGAGCCGTAAGTGTTCTTAATGTGGACATTCAAATACTCTCTTCTAAATGATAAAAAATCCATGTTTCCGCTTAGATATTAAAGATGCTATGTCTCTTAAAGTAGTATACCTTGTATTCCACTAAATAGTAGTGTTTCTACTACAGAGGACATGGTTTTTAGCCACATTAAAAGGTTTCTCTTCCCAGGATTTTTTTAATAGATTCAACAAGAACTTTAGAACTCAAGGGTGCTACAAAATTTCATTTCTTCTTGGCTTGCATCTAAAGCTGTGACCAAGATTTGTTCTGGTTCTTTATGACACTAAACTAAACTAAACTAAACTAAAATGCCTGTAACTTCTATGCTTTCTTTGGAAGAAAGTAAATGCTAAGATTTCAGGAAGTTAATATTATGCCTTAAAGGGTTTCTTTACAATTCTACAGTAAAACTGTTTCCAGTTTAAATAGCTTGAAATTTAACTTAAATTCTGTACAAAATAAAACTGAAAGCAACAGAGTTTTTAAGGAATGAAATGATGCATAGCATTTCTGAGAGGCTTGGTAAAGACTTCATATACGCCATTCCATTGTAAATTAAAATTTTAACTCAAATACTTGCATATCTTTAAAACAGTCACTCCAAAACATTTTCAAGTATTGCTTAACATCGAATACCTTTAAGAGTAGTGAATATGTGGAATAGATTCAAAGATGTATTTAGGCCTTTATTTTTAAATTACAGTTTTATAACATTTTAACTGCTAGTTAAATCACAACAGAAAGTTAATGTTCTTCCCATATACTCCTTGGTTATGAAGGGTCAAGCATATGTCTACTTGCACTCTGGTTTCTTTTCTTAAAGAGTAGTGTTTTTGTTAAACCCTGTCTGAAATTACCAGCAATGAGATGTACACGTATTCATACCCAGCTACTGAGTCACATATTCTCTTCTCTATTAAAACTATCCTTTTCCACCACCCTAACCCTTTCAAATTAAGAATTCTAAAATTTACTCCAGTGTTTGATACAAACAAGAAAAAAATCAAGGGGTAAATCACATAATAATATTTGTTCTTCACTCTTCTATCAAGAGCTGTCTTCCTAGCCACCTTCCTAGGTTAGGAGTAAAATAATGTAGGAACTATGTATAATGAGAAGGTTGAAGAAAGAGAAGGCCGTTGAGGAGCACAACTTGTATCCAGCAGTGGTGATGAGATTCTGGATTAGGTTTAAACATGTAGCTTAGTTGTAAAGCATCCGAAAAACTGTGCTGATGTTGAGTGCATAATTAATTTTTCAGTAATGAACAACTGATTATGCACTCATCTCTCTCCCTCATATTTAACTGCTGAGAAACTGCTGCTAATAAGTGTCTGCTAAATTCATCACATTTAAATCATAACTCCTATTTCTAAAGTCAGAAATCAAATACACAAGAGTGTATAAAGATCTGACTCAGCTGGCATAAAGTAATTCCATTGTCTTTTCAGTGAACAGACTGAAAGAGTTAGAAAATAGTGCTTGTTATTGTTAAATCAATGAAAGTAAAGAAATTTAGCCTTGTAAGACTTCAGAAAATTCATTGTATTCCGTATCTCTGTATTGCAGCCTGTAATTGGACACCAAAAAAAAAAAATCTATTTACTTCTCACTTATTAGTTGAACAAATAGCAATTTTGGCTGGATTTTACCTCTCATTTTTAGTGTTAATAGTTGCTAATTTCAGGTTTTGTCCCATCTCAAAGTAGTCAGAAACATGTTCAGATATTCCACCACATGATAAAAAAAATCTGAGCTTTGTCATAGAATCTGGTCACCTGGAGGACAGCCTGGGTACATATTGATAAACATTGATTATAGCAATTCATGCTTCCACAATGAAGTCAAATGAAATGTGAACTGTAGGAAAGTCTCTGCAAAGCAGCATCTAAAAATTCAGTTGAAAAACGTGAGTCTTAAATTGAGTGGAATGTTGTTTAGATGATCCTAACTTCTGTCACCTTATGTCAGCTTATGTTTGTCGTAGGCAATATAGTTTCAGTGTAATTTGTTAATAAAGATTCATCACACATGCTGCTTCTCCACTTTGTCACCAGACTAATATAAGCATGAAGAAATAGAAGAAAGCAGTCATGCTGCATACTATACTGAAAAACATAAGAAAATATCTTATTGTGCCTTTCAAATTAAATTTTATTTTTCTTTTAACCTTTTAGTAAAAAGTGATAGAACTTATGCAATGAAAGAGAGATCCAATTGCCTCTCCAAAGTGCTCTGTAGCTGAGTTAATGCTTGTTAACTAAGTAGTTGTAGTTGATTTAATGATCTGGTAAAGCCTCATCCTCTCTTGAGTTTCACGTATGAGTAAGGAAAATTGGTACAGTTTTCAGTTTCAAACTGGAGCTTACTGTATGAATTCTATTAGTTTGGGGGGTTGCTAATGATGAGAAGATGACTGCTTCTAATATAGATTTTCCTTCCCCTCCGTATTTCTCAAACTTTTGTTTCATTAAAGAATTAAGTACAATATAAATGCATTGAGCTTAAATCACTCTTAAAATACTTAAAGAACATGACATTTCTTCTGAAAATAGCTACCTCCTTGAAATGTTTTCATATTTAGATGGAATTGCTCACATATTTGACTAGATTGCCCATTATCTGTTTTTAAACGCAAGTTGGTTTTATTATTATTTTTTTCATATAGGTTTAAACCAGAACATTTTCAACTGTCTTGTAAATTTGTTCTAGGGATATACACCTTTTTGTGAAGCTGAGGAAAAATCTATTTATCATACTTTGCAAGACGTTTGAGTAATATATGGTTCTCCTCTTTTTCAGATCTGGTTTGCATTTGTCAATGGCTTTTCTGGACAAATTCTTTTTGAAAGATGGTGTATAGGTCTTTACAATGTGGTAAGATGATTTGTGTGTTTTCAGTTATTTTCAACCATAATCATGAAAGTTTCTTGAGTAAGCAATCTTTAAGCGAGTCCTCACCTCTGATGTTTTGCCATATGTTTTTTTTAATCCATCTACTAGATGTTTACAGCAATGCCTCCACTAACTCTAGGAATATTTGAGAGATCGTGCCGAAAAGAAAACATGCTGAAATATCCTGAGTTATACAAGACTTCCCAAAACGCACTGGACTTTAATACTAAGGTAGATTTAAAAAAAAAATCAAATATAATTAAAGCAGAAATCAATAGGAATTAGGTATAGTTATCCTTTTTGTTCTATGCTGCTCACAAATAAAAATGGAAGCGATTTTTATTATTACTATTTCCAGTTGTCCACTTGTCTGTGAATGGTGCAAATCATATTTATCCATTTTTAGCAAGTACAGGAATGGACAGCAAGCATTTTATTTTTTCAGCCCTGATTTTTTTTCTCTGCTGCTGATAAAGCTGTCTTCTGTAGGCAGAAGTGGTTAGACCTGTCTGTCGCTGGGCTCTATGTATTTGTACTGTTATATGGAAATGGATTACTGAAGCCTGTGGAGAAGTGTTACAGAGGACAATAAGAACTGTCATTAGATTTGTAGAGGGAGGGACTTTGTAGTATTCTTTGTCAATTTGGAGTTGTGATTTTATGTTTTAATTTTGAGTTTTGGGAAAAAATACTTGGAGTCAGTTAAGAATGTGTCAGGGTGGATCAAAAGGAATCTGAGGCTACTTTTGGTGGGAAATAGGTGATGTTCATCTTGGAGAGACTAGCACAAGAAATAGCAAAAGAACGTGGGACTTTAATATAGAAAATCTACACAATTTCTACAGATTTGTCCATAAGTAATCTCTTTTTTAAAAAAATAAATTAAACTTGTTTCTCAATCTCCAATTTCATTAATACCATGATGTTTGTAAGAGTTCCTTCTAATTTTATTGGATTTTTCTAAATAAAATTTGGACATTTCAAGTAATGTCATTGTATATTGAACTTGGGGACATTTTCAGTCTGTCTTTGAATTAACAATGTCTACATGTGATAGTGTGTAGTAGATGTGCAGAGCTAATACAGCACACTTAGCTCTTGTGTCTGTGCCACTTGTGCTGTAAAACTGGAGCACCCCTATCTATATAGAATTGTTTGTCTAAACTATCTTTGTTCACTGAAGCATATGAGATTTTTCTCCTTCCTCACTTCATCCCTTCACCTACAAAAATAAACCTGAAAATTGTAAGGAAACTAGGGGAAATAGTTTCTTGTGTCACTTGTGAATGCTTTACAAATATCAAAATTTTCACGGTCCATTAATACAGACACTTTCGTGTTGTGCTACTTTTAATAAATAATGTAAGTCATCAATTACAAGTGTTGGATTTTTCTGGTTTAAAATAAGCCTAGAATATTTCTATGATTGCACAAATATATTGTTGACTTCATTGGAAATTCTGTGGCTATTCCCATCCAACACTTCCTATGACTAAACATCTACACACTTCCCAGCTACAAAATTCCCACTTTTATAAGTTGAATAGTTGGTGTTAAAGATTTGGAAACATTACTGCCTTGAATGTTGATGCAGATGTTTGTTATGTTAAAAGGGATCAAAGGCTATGAGGTCATGACAGAGGTTAAGGGATTAGCATGTGACAATAAGAATTGGTCAGGAAAATGGAAAAGTAGAACTAATTTTTCTTGCACCCACCTGTGCCTTCTGTCAAATAAAAACTTCTGGTAATGACATAGCAAGAAGGAGAGACAAAGGTTAATGAGTAGCACAAGTTCAAATGTGCAAAGTATTGGAGTGTAAATTGGATCATACAACCTAGTGTAGTTGTATAATCTAACAAAAGACTTTGAGACATTGTGGAAAATGTGAGGCAGGCGACTTAATTTCAATTGTTTGAACACCTTAACACTCAAAATACACATCAGTTAGTTACAATAAAGGCTATGATAGTCAAAAGCGTTGTTAACGAAAAAACATGATTGCTGTACTGAAGGAAATGGATTACATACTTTTGATTAAGTCTTTTTATGTCTTTATACAATATATTATGGAAAGCATCAATAGGTTGTTTATCCTTAATGGAGTTCTTTGCAGAAGGCATATTTTACAAATGAAAATACGTTTGAAAGTAATATTTGAATTATTTAGCAAATACATTAAAGGAAGCTCAATATGATGAAGCTATGCACTTCAAGAATGGTGCATGTAAGGAGAAATCTAAGGAAGATACTTTTATTTGTCCTTCTTTAATTCCTTTGTGTGTGGAAATACGTAGGTAGGTATATGTAAAACTCAGGTTTTGATTGTTCTACCATGCAAATTTCTTATTACATAAAACGTAAATTATAAAAACTAAAGTCCTTTTTAATTCCCTACTTAGAATGTAGCAATTGTTCCAGTTGTCTGGTTTAGTTTAATTTTTCTGGTGATATTCCCATATGTATACATTCTAATTTCCCTTCTGATTTGAAATTAAAAGGAGGAGATAATACACACTTTTTTCAAAGCATAAAAATAAACAAATGACCCATGAAGAGCTAAGAGGCAGAAAGTGCCTGTCACTTATATTACTTCACAGTGGTGGCCTGACAAAAACACATTTTGTGAATCTAGCACACAGATAAAAAGGAAGGTCAGGGTTCACAGAGCTAGTTTATTGCAAATGGTTCTCATGGATTTTCTGTTTTCCCTTAGGTTTTCTGGGTTCATTGTTTAAATGGCCTCTTCCACTCATTCATTCTGTTTTGGTTTCCACTAAAAGCCCTCCAGCATGGTAAGTATTAGGAAAAATAAAAATATAAATGTTGAAAGGTAGGAAATATCTACATACCTTCTTTTTTCTTAGGAAAGCTTTATAAATACTGACAGTTTTGTGTGATTAAATTTCAAGATACCATTTCTAGAACTAGAGCAGATGCAGTATATTTAAAATGTTGTATTTAAAATCTGTTTAAAAGTAGGAGTAATATTATGTACATATGCATTAAACTATATAAATAGGTTTTAAGTAAGTTGAAACAAGATGGAGAAAGAGAGATTGCTATTTAATTATGCTGGTTTTTCATATAATACGCTACCATGGTAGATACCTTACAAGATCCTAAATCACTACTGTCCGTTGCATTGCGTCGTGCATTTCGTAAACTTTTATTGCTGGTGTGTGTACCTTCTGTCCTGTTACTTCAAGGGCATACTAACCCATTAGTTTATATCTATATGAGTAGGCTTGTGACAGAGGAAACTGGGACATCTTGGGCAGCTCAGTCCTGTCAGTCTTCTAGTTCAGCAGTTCTGTATGCACCTGAGCTGCAGAAGGGAAATGGGGTGGTTGGGAAAAAGGCTGTATTAATTAGAGGAAACTTGAAAGCGCTGTTTCCAGTTTGCAGGAATGTTTGTGTGGGGGGCAGCTCTGATAAGGGTGGGGATTTGTTTTACTTCCACATTGTGAGGAGAAAAAAAAAAAAAGTGTGTACCCTGCAGCTTTTCTGTAAAATTAGTAGTCTGCTCAGTTTCCCTGATATAGCCAGGGAGTCTGCCCTGGCATGTGGGACAGAAATACTCTAATGGACATTTTGGAACTGTTGAGACTAGGTAAGGAGATGGTCACAGCTGCTTGTGCCCGAAAGGGTTAAGAGGAAAACTTCTTGCAGAGTGTTTTATACTCAGTGACTTCTGATGGGTAAAGGGAAGGAGGTAGCAACCTGTTTTCTCTGAAACACCAGTCACATCACACTCAATGGGAGTTCAGTGGCAGCGGTTTGCACTGGAGAGGTTTAGACAGCCCAGGAGGAAGTAGCTCCCAAAATGTCAATGCATACTCTAAAACCACAACCTCAAATACAAATCAAAATCCCCATTCAAAGCTGTAGCTGGTCTATGTGAGAGATTTATGCATTACATGATGGAGAAGTGTTTAATTGAGTATATGTGGTGATGCAGAATAGAGTTCATATGTGAATGGCAAAGCTGAGATACTTGCATAAGCACTTGTGAGAGCACTGTAGCACAGACCGCTTTGGCTCACAGCCCCTGGGCTAGAACTGACTTGCTGGCAAGTGGCCTCTACAAGTGTGAAAAAATTGGCTTCTGTCTTCCTCTTTCATTCCTAGAGAAAGGCCGCGTGAGTAAGAGGAGCAGAATTGAGACCTGGGGATTGTGTACACAGTGGGCAGTATAACCAGTACCCACCGTAGGTCCGGCTGGTGCACAGAGTTGTGCGTGAAGGGGAAATGAGCGCAGGATGGGAGCTAAATCTCTGATGTCTGTGTGTGTAAAGAGGAAAGGGAAACAATGCTAGTTTCCTGGGGAGGAGCTGATGAGTGCCAGAGAGGTCCGCCAGAGAGGTCCACCAGAGAGAGGAACTTCTGAGAAGAGGTCTCAGCCTCCACCTTATCTTAGCAAAGAGGCACAGGAGGATCCTGAGGCATGAAAGGAGGAGTGCAAAGAATGGGGGATAGCTCAGCTTTGTGCATAAGAGTGTTGAGTCCCTGCACACTCACTGATGGGAACAGACTTACCTGCCTGCCTATTCCTCTGTTTTATCCTTATACTCTTTACTGCTAAGTATATATTGTAAAGCAGCGGAGTGCATGTTTAAGCAAGTATTTATTAGAATGTTGAAAATCTAACCTTGAAGATAATGAAAATCTCTCAGAGCTCACAGTCTATCCTTTGAGCATCTTCTCCTGTGTACTCTTTAGTCTCACTTTTCCACCTCTCTCTTGTCTGTAAGTGGAAAATTTCTTGTCTGTAAATGGAAAATTTCAAACTGCATGTGTTGTAGTAGAGTCTACCAAGAAACAGGTGATCAGGGGAATAAGTATGGATTTGTAAGAATTGCTTGTCAGAATTTGCCCCATGGGACCTAACCATTGGACAATACCCAAAACTAGAGTCTTTGCAGTCCATGTACTGTCATGTGGATATGAAAAGCAGTAAGGACATAAGTCTTCACAGAAGCTTCTTCTGATGCAACTTTGTCAACATAACAGTAAATGGCAGAAGCTAAGCTTATACGGACAAGTGAATCCACCAACTGTTCTCTCTTTTGTATAACCTTTAAAATGAGCCGTGGTCTTAGCTTTGGTTTTTGTGGTGTGCTAGTCTGTCCAGGGAGAAAGTTAAATCAGGGAAGTGCCAGGAATACAACCAGTATCACTAGAGCTAAGGAGGCAGCCATTGTGGGCTCCTCATCTTGGAACAGGAGACAGGTACGTTAAGGAGGACTGTTTGCAAGCATTTTTACTCCGATTTTTTGTGTGAACTTTCACCTGCTGTCTCTTCCAGAATATCAATAAGTAGATCTTTTTTTTCTGTGATAAACTGGCCTTACAGGTCCTGAAAAGCTTTTAGAAAGGAGCACTCTTCATCCATGACTAAAATGAATTTCATTTCAAGCATGTGTAAAGGTGATATGAAGGCTGGAAAAACACTCAAGACAAACATGAAAACATACTTAATTAGCAGCATTTAATATACCGTGTGCTAGCTGAGAATAGTGGAAAAATAAGTGTTTTCAACTACAGACCATTTTTATCAGCTTGTCACCTTCTTCTGGCCAGCCCCATCAGAGAAGTTTTAAACCCATCCCCACCCCCCAAAAACAAAAACCCAAACACCTTTATTCTTCTCTTTCCCCCAACACAGCATTTTAAAAACAGCCTTCCTTACATCCTCTCAGCATTAGCAAGTTTGGGATTTGGGGTTTTTTTTAATTTTTTTGGTCTTATACTTTTATCCTTCCTTACTACATGCACAGAATTTTGATATCTCTTTATATGATGGTAGTAAAAAGCAATATCCCAGTGATTAGAACCTCTACAGCAAAGTAAGGGTTCTGGTTTAGTTGTAGTATATGAGCCATCATGAGTGCTGAAAGCATTTCTAAACAGAACACATAAAAATTTAGCAAGTTCAGTACTTCTAACGGAGAATAAGGAATTCCCTCTGGGTAGTTCAGTTGCGTGTTGTCCCATGTTTACCAAGAACTTTCATGGAAATGTTATCAGAAAAACTTGTGCTATAGCAATAGTAATAAAATACGTTCTGTTAGATAAGCATAAATGCACTGCTTCAAAATTCTGACCTTAAGAACCACAGTAGATGTGATTTTTACGCAAACACATCTCTTTATGGCACTGATGCTGCATAAATGCTGTGTGTTTATCTATATGTGCAAAATGGATATGTGTTCCTATGAATCCACATATTTGAGTTGGGTAAATTTTGAAAAATACTATGAATAACAATCATCTCAAGAATTAAAATTGAGTGTATTTCATATTTTTACTTAAACCGAATCTCAGAAATATGGATAAGAGCAAAGATAAGATTCTATACCAAAAATATCCAGATTCAGTGAAAATCTGACTCTCTAAGCTTTCTCTTTACTTACGTGTTACAATCAGTGTACACTACAGCTATTATATTTCATATTTTTCTGATAGTAAGCTACTGTATCTCTGATCTTAAAAGTCACTCTTAATTAAATTATTACTGCATACATTATTACTCATATTGGTATATGACATTACAAAAATCTCCTGTTTCTAGCATAATTCCTGAAGTCACTGAAAGTTTTAAAGGACTAAAAATTATAAAAGTCATAGATCTCTACTGTTCAATACAGTTCAAGGTAAAATCTGCTGTTATTATCATGTAGGAAGTGCTACCATCTCTTTTGTACCAAAACTAAGATTTTTTTTTTTAATGTATATATATCTATATGTATATATAGTCCTATTGTGGATATTTAAATGTTTAAGTGTTTTTATTTTTATTACTATTTCCTTCTCCAGGTACTGTATTCGGCAATGGGAAAACTTCAGATTATCTGCTCCTGGGGAACACTGTATACACTGTAAGTCTTCCTACAGCTATCTCATGCTCTGTCAGCTGACTATCTATATTGGCTCTATCTTTAACTCTTAAAGAGAAGTGGTTTTATTATTACTTATAATTCTCTACATAGAAGACTTGATTCATTATAGTGCCTTGAGAATAAGAAATGGCTCTTGAATGGCACTTTGAGAAGCTTTGAAGTACGTTTTGCATTCTAATTCCAGTTTCTAAAACAAAGCAGTTTAATAAAGAATAAAGAGCATAAAGGGCTGAGTAACCACAGCCTGTTCTGTGTACTTCCTACTGCTGTAGCAATTGAAATAAAATTTTTCTTCTGCCAGTCAATACATGGCCTTTAAACTGGTTCCTTCAGGCACATTGAAAAATTGTTCACACATTCTCTTAGAAGTTTATTTGCTCTACTCTTCCCTTTCCCTGTTCCAAAAGGCAAGTACGACATGTTTTGTCAGCAATAGTCACATCCGATCATGCAATCTATCAGTTGATGAACTGATCTCTGTTAGGGATGGTTGGAATATCCTAGGTAAGTGTTTTCTGTGCAAGTCTTAATAAAATTAAGATGTAAGGTCACAGTCATTCTCATAGCTCAGTCCTGACAGAAGTAGTTCAACTGACACAGGTCTATTTGTATTATGATCTCATAACACTGAGCAGTGTTTAGAAGTCAGTCATTTATCTGAATGTCACTGCTTTCCCCAATATTGATGAATACCTCATAAGACTATCTACCAGAACCACCTGTTGTTCTAAGTGAAACAGGTTCTTCTTGGGGAGAGGTTTTCTATACCTGGTTTTCACCCTATCTACAAATATTTCATTGTTTGCTATACTTAGAAGTTGCAAGATTTCTCAGTTCAGCAGAAGTTTATTTTATGAATTGTATGTATACATGAGTTGCATAACTTCACCTATCCTAGCACCTAAGCCAAGTTTTCTAATAGCATCTCCTTTTCCTTCATTGCTCTAAAAATATCCTTTGTATTGGCCATCGTATTGTAGAGTGAGCTAGCACTGTACACTTGTTAAAGCCAATTATTCAACATACTGCTGCAATCACATCTGAAGTTCTTTCCTGAAGTGATCTCAGAACTTCTTTGTGCCGAGTCGCTCTGCTCTGTGCTTCTTTCCAAAAGCAAGGCTTGGCACCAGGAGAAAATAAGTTACATAAGCTGTACTAAGAGTTTAATGGATTACACTAGGTCCTGTGGAACTGAGTGTTCAAAAAGTGCTGTTGTTTAGATTGTCACCCATCAGTTGATGGATAAGTCTTGAAATTTTATGGTACTGCAGAACATCTGAGCATGATCTGTGACATCAGCTGACTCACAAAAATCAAAGCCTGCATTTTCAGATTTGTAGCAACATTTTCCACCACCTTCAGAAATTACTTAATTTCTGATACTTTCAATATAGTAACTTGGGGCTACTCGTTACTGTTTGTCAAGCTGTATCCATAAATGCTAAAACGGAGGTCACAATGCAATTGTTCTGTCATCTTCTGCAACTGGTTTTCAACTACGACAGCTGAAACTTCACCATCTTGAGAGGCTAATTGCTTGCTACTAACCTGCAGAATGGCCAAGAATTTCCCCAGAAAACATTATTTCACCATTATCAGTCCAGACAACCTGCTTTTTCATTTGTTTTCCAGATTGTCCACTTCACATCAGATTGGAAAATCTGGGGAGAGATGGGGTTGCAGTTGATGTATTCTGGGTCTTGCACAGGAATTCAGGGAGGTGTGGAGCACAATGAGGATTTGAGAAAATTTCAAAATTGAAGGGGGATTTTTTTTTTTAAGATTTTTAAAAATCTGTGCATGTGAAGTGTATGTGCACTGACAGTTGTCAGTTTTTGTCTTGAAATACCAAAATCATAAGGCTAAGGAACTTTCATTCTTCCCACTGCTTTTAAGCTGGGTTTAGGAAGTCTACGTTCATCACTTGTGTAAAAATCAGTAGCAAGGGGATTCAGAATATAGTTTCTTTGGATCCACAGAGAAAGTCAGGAATGTGCACTGATTCATACCATGTCCTGGCATTATTTCTTCAAACATAAATTTCAAATATGAGTAGAGTGCCATGAATATCATTGTACGACCATTCTTGAGAGGTCTTTTTAAAAAAGCTCAGTGCTTTATACAAAATACAAGTTTGATTTATTGTTTCCTAGGTGGGATTCAGTGAGCTATTGTTAGTTTGGATGAAGGGGAGGACGGAGCAAAAAAGCCCACGTTCTTGAGGGAGCCGCTGTGTGTAGTTGGTAACTTTGTTAGGGGTATCAGTTAAGATGCAAGGAGGATATATATTCACACAGTGTATATCTTCTTTTATAGAGATGTGCAGTGTTTGTTTTGTGTATACATTTTGTCTATGCGATGAGAATCCTTGATCTGATCTTAAAGAAGGATATTTTCTTTTCTTATAACTGACTCAAAAGTAACAAGCAAGGGCACCAGATGAGTATTTTTTTTTTCTCCATAATTTTTTTCACTCATCCAAATATAGCACCAGAACTGGATAGACTTAGTAAATGATAACAGTAATCCTGGTTCTTAATTTTCTTCTAATTGGATTTCACACGTTTTAGACAATGGAATTGTGGTGCTGTGGTTTTTTGGTGGGTTTTTTGGGTTTTTTTTTGATTTTTTTGGTCCTTTAATAATGGAGTGATAGTTGAAATAGGAGATTCCACAATTAAAAGCATAAACTTATAGCTAGGGTGAAAGCTTTCTAGCAGGATTTGTATCCTCCTGTGTCCCAGACATAGTGAAAGACTTGTCATATATATTTAACCAGTTATTTTCAGCTTCTGATTGAAGTAAATTTCTTCTGAATTTCTGAGGCTTCTTGAAGTTCAACCACAGACAAATTCACTTACATCATTGCTGCCAACCTGGCCAACAAACTAGAGTTTAAACAATAACTGTTACAGTTGGAGCTTGGTCTTTGTGACTCCATTTTTCAGCCTCATGTTCTTCAGATTGCACATAAAGCAAAACTTGTGATACATGTTCCCATGTGAGTTACAAAATGTAATAACTATTTCTTTGCTGGACAGAAAACTTGTTTGTGTGAATTTCAAAGGAAGGAGATAAACAATTTTCTGGAATCAGCTAGTCCTCGCAGTGGGTTTATAAGCTTTCTACTACTGCTCATCTCTAAACTAAAATGGAGTATATGCTACAGGACAATAACATGATGTTTTCAAAGACTACTCCGTAAAAAGAGTAAAGATAAGAAAAGATTAAAGATGCGAGAGAAGAATGAAGATTACATAACAGACTTATTCGATGTGATATTTGTATGCAGAACATAGGTCTTAGGCTGCCAACCTTTAACTCTTTTGCTTTTCAGGGTTTGGCAAAGGTGACTCATTTACTAACGAAGTACTAATGAAGTGAACAAAACTTTTTCTTTCATTTTTTAATTTAGACTAATGTAAGCTTGAACAATTGCAAGTTTTCAGCCCAGCATCTAGATGATCTAAATCTGTCTTTGTGTAGAAAGTAGTAGTCATCCTCTTCATAACTACAGGGTCTGCCCTCTCTACTGAAGTGAACTACACTTTTCACAAACCTTTCTGTGTAACCAGAATACCACTGATAAAAAAGCTAACAACTCAGTAAGAGCCAGATTTACAGAGTTCTAGGAGGCAAGGGAAGTGTTTAAGATTTCTAATACAAAATAAGTGTTTTCCAAATCAAATGAGTGGCAATTATTAATGGAAGCTAGTAACTCTTAGTGTTCTATTACTAGCTCATTACTGGGGTGTATCTTTAAATCTTCTAGTGGCATTTTACTGTGGTCATTTCAAATAGGCACTTGAACTTCAGATTTAAATGCACACACAAAACAAAAAAAGAGGAAAAATACAGCTACCTGTGGTCTAAAAGAATTTCACTTTGGGGCTGCTGAGAGTCCTACATTTTTGGGGAGCAGATTCTGTTAAGGCAGAAGGGCTATTCCATAGTTTCTGCAGGTCCATAGAAATGTTTGCCTTTTGCTTTACGAGCTTTGGTTTGCATTGTATACACAGCTAGGTGCATTGACACACACAGTACTTTTTTGAATATTATTAAGGAAATGGCATTTAAATTGAAGAGATTGATTATCCTTTCCCTTATTTTATTTGTGCAAGTAAACATGAAGTATGAAAATCACTAAACTTTTTTTCTGTTCTCCTGAAAGTTTAACCAAGCTAATAAATTCTGTATGTTAAGTACGATTTCCATATTAAAAAATCCTGTCTGTCTCTCTCTCTCTTTTTAAGTTTGTGGTTCTAACTGTGTGTTTGAAGGCTGGATTAGAGACCTCGTATTGGACATTGGTAAGCAAATGTCTTTACTATATTCTCAAATGTTCTATAAAATATGATGGATATATGACTGTGTTTTTTTCTTATTATTTATTATATTGCGCCCTTACAGTTTGTCAGCCCGCCCCACAGTATAAAATTAAACTATGGTTACTGTGTGGAAAGACAGAATATCCACATATGAAAAATAATGCTTAATATTGAAAAGGAGGACAGTGGGATAAGGCTTAAAGTAATCTTTAAACTAGAAAAATCAAATTACTCTGAAGTGATTGTAACTGAACTTAAATTCAGAGTTAGATTAATACAAGGCACAAAAGTTTCATCCAATATATCAGAATTGCATAGTAAATACTAAGTAGCGAAGATCTTTTTTATGTCATAATGCATCTGTGATGAAAAAGTTTCATCCAATATATCAGAATTGCATTGTAAATACTAAGTAGCGAAGATCTTTTTTTATGTCATAATGCATCTGTGATGATTGTTCTGTTTTTCTTTTTTTGTTTGTTTTAACAGTTCAGCCATATAGCTATCTGGGGAAGCATAGCACTTTGGATAGTGTTTTTTGGAATTTACTCTTCTTTGTGGCCAGTCATTCCTATGGCACCTGATATGTCAGGAGAGGTAAAAAGTATATTTTAACTAATATCCAAATGTGTGCAAAAAATACCGTTTCAGTCTTTAGTACAGACCTAATCTTTACTGGATCCTTCTGCTAACTAGAGATGCATAAGAGGGTTGCTGCTTTTATACATTCAATGTGGTAGCCATGTTTATTTAAAATTGAATGGATTTTTACTCTGAAAATGAAGCTCAACTAACAGGCTGTGCTTATGTGGTCTAGTGAGGAAGAATAGACAGGTAAGCTACTTTGCAGTTCTTTAGAGAGTTTTAATTTTCTAAAGAGAAGTCTTACCAAATTCAGAACTCAGAATTACAGTGCTTATTTGGCTGGAGGGGTTTTTTTATAATGAGGTAGCACAAGTAGTGCATTGGTTAAGGCTGTTTTTTCATCTTGAATTTTACAAATTTGCTAAGTATTTGAAACGGTAAAATGTCTCAAAAAATTTGAGGTGCCATAACATTGCATGAGCTTTCTTTTCTATTAATGTGCTGCTTCTAATGCATTGTTGTGCTGTATCTTTAACCTTTTGATAGTAATTATTGGCTTCTCTTTCATTATCTAGCACTTGTATAAACTTGCTCTGAATATTGCAAATAGGACTGAATCCATAAAAGACGTTTAGTTGCTGCCTGTGCTGATCTAATTGGGACTTCAGTCCCAAATTCTCAAAACCATTCAGTTCCAGAAACATCTGAAGTTTAGTATTGATTTCCCAGACACTAATGTCTGCTTCTGGGCATGGCTGGTAGCTCCTGAGCTGTGAAGTTCAGTGTGCATTCTCACTGGGAATCAGAAACTGAGAATACCTGCTTGTTTCAGAAGGATACTCTTCTAATGTGTCTCAAAGCGTATCAACTAAATTAAGCCTTACACCAGTAAAAAAGTGAGTGCCTTTAACTCCACCACTGTGATATAATTCAGCAATTTAAAAATTCATGCGGGATGTGGGGAATTTAGGCACCTGTCTCTCCCTCGCTTGGAGGTAATTCGGAAGTCCCACCTCCTACATAAGCAGTTATGGGAAAAATAGTATATAGGCATTTATGTAACTACTACATTTTAATGGAAAGCACATGGAATTAACTTAAGTACTTGGACACCTAAGAAAAAAAATGAATTTGAAATTATACAGTTTCTTGCTGTTTTTCTTCTCTATTGTAACCTCTTACCCATGTGTATATGTAGATTTTGTACATTACCACATTGCCTCCACTACTCAAAATTAACGATGTACCTTATTCTAAATTAAAGTAATTGAAGCTATCATACTTCAACATTTTTCTTCACTGTATTTTATAGAAGAAATAGACTGTTTGGGGAATCTGTTGTTTTTAGAGATTTTTGTAAAAACTTTATATATTGTTCTTTAAGACAGAAGAACTTTTATGGTGGTAAGCACAGTGGGAGCAGCAGGATGTGTTACACTTGGTATGACATAAAGGTGGCTACCTCACTGTTGAAATGACTGAATATTTTACTTAGAACATGTTCAGTCTCCGAAGTTATTGTGAGAAAAAGATGGTTTTGAAGGGGATATAATTCCTACAAACTTGGAAAAACAGTTCTTCATGAAGAGTTGTAGCCATCAACAAAAATAAGTACTCTTGGGGTTTGAATTCAACATGACACCAAAGCAGTCTGACTTACAAACCCAAATTCATTTATTTGTTGTGATAAAACTGTATCTGTACTTGAAATGGATAGTCTTATTTTGTTAGTGTGTTTGCTACTGCATGTGTGTGCATATAGTAGTTTTTGGTGTGTGTATGTGAATGCAGTTTTTTGAGGGGAGTGTTGTTGGATGAGGTTGGTTTTGGTTTTGTTTTCTTTCTAAGAATATAGTTAGAAGTCTGTAACATCAGAATAAAGTCTCCTAAACATATCATAGACCGTAAAACTTACTTTAAAATCTCTGGTCTAACTTTTAGAGCTGTTCTCTGTGTGGCTAAATGTCTGTTGATGAATACCGCGGCTCAGATTGGAAGCAGGATTTTTGTATGCTCTCCTGGAAGCCCCCTCACTGACTGGGTGGTCTCTGGCAGGGCAGAATTCACTGGGTTTCTCTGACAGAAGTCCAGGCCTTCCATAAGTATTCGAACTAAAAGATTCACAAATTTAACTGTGGAAAAGATTGTGGTGTGATAGAAAAAAATCTATATAGACATCTCTGCTTGCCTGTGCAAATACTGCTTGTCTAATTTCTTGAAATGCACGAGTCAGACTTGAAGACTTCATCCAAATGCATTTGGCAGAAATTAATGAACAAGTCAAAAGCTGATCTCTACTTCTGTAGCTTTTTGTCTGTTTTGCCTTTACCTGATCTGATCAATTACACTGAAGGGGATTTTCAGGGTGTTTTTCTTCCAAATGTGTTCATTGAAAATGCCCTTTTTTAAAGTAAACTGTAGATTTAAAAAGCGGTTTTACCAGCTATAATCCTTATAAAGTTTAAATGTATTCTTTCAGCTCCTTAGAGCTAGTAACGAGAGATCTACCTTAGTAGGTTTATAGTCTTACCAGTCAGTATTCTTGATACAATATTCATCCAACCATTCAGTCCCAACTAGATGATGATACGTATCTTCTACAAACATCTTTTTCATGGCTTCTTTTAGACAGAAAAGGACCTACTGAAACACTCTAATAAGGATTCAGTCTAACTTCTTCATATTAATGTCATTAAAATAAATAAGATTCTTGCTGCTTATTGCTGGTTCTATTCCAAGAAAATAAAATGCTAATACTCTTAATGGGAGGAGAAAAAGCATATGGAGCTGATGGGAAATTCATTCACTGAATGCAGAGGAAAAGTTTCATTAAGTATTTTGAAACTCAAATTTTTCATCTATTCCTATAAAATACCTATACAGCTCTGATAAATGCGTTTAAACAGATAACACTGCAAGGTAATACCTCAAGAAAAAAAATAGAGTTGTAATAGAAGAAAAGAGTCTGTCTATGCTGCAAAAACCCTCTTATGTTGGAGCACTGAAGCTAGCAGCCCAAAGTTAAATCATAAGAATTGTTGGTTTGTGTTTCATATTTTCATGTCAAACCATCACCCAATAACTTACTGAAGAAAGAAACAAGTATGTCACATTTTTGCAAGTATTCCCTACTTTTTACACTGATTTTGTTTCCATCATTTTGTGTATCATTTCAGTTGTAGAGAAGATAATTAAAGTTGGCTTTTACGTATATGTTGCTATGTGTTAGTAATGCATAGAAGGAAAGATTCTAGAATGCTGTGCTCTGAAAGAAAATATAGTGAAATGAAAAACGATGACTTTCTGACAGTGTGCCAGCAGTTTAGTTCATTGTCTAGGCCACTACCCCCCATTCTTTGCCATGTTCCTAATACTTACAATCAAGTGTATTTTACTTTCTCTTTTGCTTCAAGTTTTCCCAAAAAAGCCAAACAAGGACCCCTTTGACCCAAAATGCCCTGTTGATCTTGAATGCTGAGGCAGTTCTGGCAGCAAGACCTTTGTTTTCTGGTCTTCCCAGACTGGACCAACTTACCCCGGCCATACAGTACTGTTCCTCACAGTGTGGGAACTAAATGATTCTCCATGTCATGGTACTCCCAAGTCCCATAAATAATGGCAACTAGGTTACCAGTTAGATAGCGCACCAGAAGAGTTGAAAGGTGACTTCTGGCTTGCATAAGCAGAGGTGTCCTGGCACAAGTGTTCTCCTGATATGAGTAACTGGTAGTTCTATAGCTGATATCTGTTAGAGATTGATAATGGGCATCTGGGTTATAGTAGCTGAAACATGTTTCCTTAGTAAAATTCTGGCAAAACCTTAGAATCAGCATTCTAACAAGAAACCAGTTACATTTTGTCAACCTTAAATAGTTTCTATTCCAGTTTTTAAAAAAAAAAAAAAAGAAAAAAAAAAAAGAAGTCGCTAGTGAGGAAAACATTCATTTTCCCTGATTGATGATGTTCAGATGAAATCTGTCAGTTCACCATTGTCTTTCTGCAGACACAGCCTAGAAGGAAAAATGGATGAAAAATGTGAGAGAAGCAATGGGATTTATGAAGCAGAAGAAAATGGGAATAGGTTGTAAAATTGAAGAAGGATATGTGATAAAAAAGGGGTGATAACCTAAGTAGTTCATTATAGTATCATATAAGTATCCATGGCTAGTTCAGATCACCTGTAGCAGATCACCTTTAAGTTATCAGTCTTTTAGTAGCCTGAAACAAGACTTAGATATTTTATCATTAATTAAGCTGCAGTTATTATTTACCTTCATAGTATTTTTGTTTGTACTTTAGACTCATTCATTTAAAAACTTCTCTTCCTGAGTTTATTCTAAGAATTAGGGACTATATTTTTCTAGTCTTGGACACAGATCCTAAAATACTAGGAATTCAAGTTTTATCTGCCTATAGCAAAGTGTTAAAATACCTTTTCTACCAGGAGGATTTTGGAAGTAGTAGCAAAACATGACTTCTATTGGAGGGAACTTGATGTACAGTGTATGAGAGAGAAATATGGAAAACATTTCAAAAGTTTTCAGTGATTTTATAACAACTTTGCAGTGTCTGTAACGTAGTCTATTACAGTATAATGTTTACCTGCAGTAATGTTTATTCCCACATTTGTTGGCTGTCAGTATTGTGTAATGTGGAAGCATCTGAACAATGAACCTGACGGGTTATTCTCTTAATATTTTACCTGTAAAGATTGTACTTTTAAGTACAGATGCACAAGAAAAAAAAAACAACACCCACCCACAACAACAACAAAAAACCCCTACTTTGTAGGCATTTTGTGGTTAGATTTAACATGGTTATAGAGAAATGGGTCATAGCACAGGACATCTGTTTTGACCTATTACATAAAAGAAGCTCCATTTAATTTCAAAAAAGGTGCTACTACAGGCTAGAAGAACATTTTCATTGCAGACTTGAGTAAATCAACTGCATGGGTCTTTTTCTCTACTACATTGATATAACTGAAGTTGATACTTTTCTTCTATGTATAA